TGAGTATGTCATACTTAAAACATCAACATGTTACTACTCAAGAACTTCCCCCCATATGTAGTGGTTTATTGATAAAACAATGGGAAACAGTTATCATTTGTATCATTTTTAGAGTTGTATTTCTGTCTTTTACCTGCCATAGTGTGAAGATTTAATGTTGCACACTTTACTCCACAGGAATATGTTTTTCACACTGAACATTGGAATTTATATGAAATTAGTGAAGGCTGGCCATACTTAATTTCATTGTCTTCCAAACTACACATTTTGCTGCAGTGTTTGTTTTCTCACCTTGTTTATTAAATGCTAAGAGATTCATTCTAGTACAAAAATTAATTCAGAATGTTGAATAACCTAAATGTAAAACCCGAAACTGAAACTGAGAAGAAAACACTGAAGTAAATCTTGATGACCTGATTTGGCAGTGATTTTTCTACATATGGCTTTGAAGGTATAAGCAACAAAAGGTAAAAATTGTGGAGGTCATCAAAATGAAAAACTTTTGTGTTTTTAAGAATACTATCAAGAAAATAGCCCTGGCTGGTGTAGCTCAGTGGATTGAGCATGGGCCTGCGAACCAGACAATCGCGGTTCGATTCCCAGTCAGGGCACATGCCAGGGTTGCAGGCAGGTTCCCTGCAGGCCAGTTCCCAGCAGGGGACGCACGAAAGGCAACCATACATTGATGTTTCTCTCCCTCTCTCCTTCCCTTCCCCTCTAAAGATAAATAAATAAAATCTTAAAAAAAAAAAAAAGAAAATAAAGACAACCCAGATTGCTAGAAAATAGTAAATTATATATCTGAAAAAGGGACTCATATCTAGAAAATGTAAAGTATCATTATTTATAACTCAATCATAGAAATACAACCCAGTTTTAAAAATTGACAGTTCTCCAGGGAACCGTCCAATATGCAAGTGTCCAATAAACATGAAAAGGTATACATTAGTCATCAGGGAAAGGCAAGTCAAAACCACTTCTTGCCCTGACTGGAGTGGCTCAGTGGATTGAGTGCTGACCAGTGAACCAAAGGATTACCAATTCTTTTCCTAGTCAGGAGCATTCAGGAGGCAGCCACACATTGATGTTTCTTTTCTTCTTTCTCCCTCCCTTTTCCTCTTCATACCCAGTAGGATGGTTATAATAAAAAAAGCAGATGATAACTTGTGTTGGTGAGGATATGGAGAGCCTGAGACTGTATGTTGCTGATGTGAATGTAAAATGGTGCAACTACTTTGGAAAACAGTTGGCACTCCCTAAAAAGTTAAATACAGTTGTTTGACACAGCAGTTTCACTTCTAGGGATATACCCAAGAGAAAAGAAAACATTGCACACAAAACCCTGTACATCAAATTTTCATAGCAGTATTATTCCTAATAACCAAAAAGTCAACCCAAATGTTCGTTAACATGGGTAAACAAAGTGTTATATCTATACAATGAAGTATCAAGCAATAGGAAAGAAGAAAGTACTAATGGATGTTAAATAGGGATGAACCTTGAGAACTGGCCAGATGACAAAAGTCAGTCACAGAGAACCATAAATTATATGATTCCATTTATACAAAATGTCCAGAATATGTAAGTTTATAAAGACAGAAAGTAGATTAATGGTTGGGATGTGATAGCCAAAGTGTATGGGCTTCCTTTTCATGGTGAGGAATATTTTCCTAAAAGGTAAATACAGCTGTCCCCCAGGTAGGTTCTGGGATCCCCTATGGATACCAAAATCTTAGAAAGCTCAATATCCTTATAGTAAATGGTATCAAATAATGCATATAGTTAGCCCTCTGCATCTTTGAGTGTGAAATGTGCAGATGTGGAGGACTAACTATTTAAAAAAGAAAACGAAACCTGATAAGATGCTCAAGAAAATGCCAAGCTAAGTGTAAACGGCAGGTGACAGAAGGCTGTGAAAGATTGGATGTGCTTGCTGAGCTATGTGCATGTTTCTTAGCTTAAAAACTGAATGCTTTCTCTTTTTTTCCTATCGCATCATTTAATGTACTTATTGTTCATAAGCACCTTCCCCTGCATAATTATTGGATCATCTAAAATTGTGGCATATTCTGTGAGATCTTATTGAATACCTTACTATGTGTTTGCAGTTGTGCTTCTCTGTCAAGGGACATACAAATATAAAACATCTCTTCCATCTAGGAAATTCAGGGTATCTGTTCATTACACAAAAAAGTTACAAAAAGTATGAGGTATACAGCCCTGACAAACACAATAAATGTTTGATAGATGAAGTTGTGTGTAATGTTTCCAGGACCTGGGGTGGGGATTATGGCAGGGTGGGTTTTCACACAGTGCTGTGAAGTTTTAAAGGGAGGGGGCTCCTATAGAAACTAGACAAATGAAAGTATGGGGTTTTACTTTTATTTTGACCAGGTTGATAGTCTCAAATATGGCGCCTGCCTGCTGGCTTTGTGGGGAGAGGGCTCAGAAAAGGGACCATGGCCTCTGTCTACATTTCTGCCTGAGAAAACACTGTCCTCAGCTATCACCTTGATGCCAGACACTTTAGTTCCTCCTTGTGTACCACTGGTGCCTTTCAAGTTGCTACCCTGGCGCTAGAGCTTAGAGGGAATGAGGAAGTAGTGGGCCTCATTGCACCCATCTTGTTTGGGACTCTGTGCTTCCTGGACAGAGTAAGGCTGTATATGGATTCTTTAAGAGGAACTGCCCGGGACTCCAGAAGTTTCTTCCACTGACTCAATCCCTGCTGGTTTTTGCAGCCAGAAGTTATAGGGACTTACCTTCCTGGCATTGGAAGAACCCTGGGCTGTGGAGCCTGGTATGAGCTGGGACTCCTCACTCCTCAGACATCCCTCCAAATTTTTATTTACCATATGTGGGTGTGGAACCAGCCTGTTCCACATCCCCACTCCTCCTACCAGTCTGGGTGGATGTAGTTTCTTTTGTTTCATAATCGTCAGGCTGCCATTCAACTTGATATCTGACAGTTTTGAGTGAGAGTTCTGTATTGTAGTTGTAATCTTGATGTTGATAATATAATGTCTTTAAGAAGAACTGCTGGAAATTAGGGGTCTTGAGGGCATTAAAGGAAAGGCACAGAGTGTGATTAAAAATTGTGCTTTATTATTATTAATTTGAATCTTTGGCTCAAAATAGTACTTGAAAACGGGCGTTTCATTATCACAACCCTGTTGTCAGAGATTCTAATGGAGCTCTATCATAGACCCATCTGTTGTGATGTGTCTGCATTTTAAAGTCTAGCTTGTACATTTGTGGTTGTAGAGAGAGACGACGACGAAGAAGTCGCAGTGGCACAAGGTCTCCTAAAAAGCCTAGGTCTCCGAAAAGAAAACTGTCTCGCTCACCCTCCCCTAGGAGGTAAGAATGTTAATGGTTTAGATCTATTCTTTCTATTTTTCAGATATTTACTTTTGAGAAAAATACTTATGAATGTGCTTTTATTTTCCTTTTATGACTTGAGACTGAATTATAATAAACACTGCTGAGGATTGGGCATTTTAGACCTGTTACCAAATTAATCTTGCTGTTCATAGCATGTATCCCGTGTTTTTAAAATGTATGTGTGCCATCCTCTTAATTTTTAACTGATTGATTTTAAGAATAGGAACAGGGAGAAACCTTGATTTCTGTTGTTGTTCCACTTAATTGTGCATTTATTGGTTAATTCTTGTATGTGCCCTTATCCGGGATCAAACCCTCAACCTTGGCATATTGGGACAGTGCTCTGAACATCTGAGCTACCCGGCTAGGGCTCTGATATCTTCTTTACACCATGTGAACTGGGTCAAGCTCAGCATCTAAACAAGTTTAAACTTAATGCTATGCTTGCAGGCAAAACTTCCAAGTGTATCCTTTAAAGCGTCTTTTTTTTTTTTTTGAGAACATTTTACTGTTATTCTAGGCATAAAAAAGAGAAGAAGAAAGATAAAGACAAAGAAAGAGGCAGAGATGAAAGAGAACGATCAACAAGCAAAAAGAAGAAAAGTAAAGAAAAGGAAAAGGATCGGGAAAGAAAATCCGAGAGTGACAAAGATGTAAAAGTATGTCTACAAACTAATTTATTTTGGTGTTTTGGGTGGTGCTAATACTTTAAGAAGTGATTTTTCTGTGAAGACGTTTACTTTTATTATTCTCCTTGGCAAAGCAGGTTACACGGGATTACGATGAAGAGGAACAAGGGTATGACAGCGAGAAAGAGAAGAAAGAGGAGAAAAAACCAACAGAAACAGGTTCCCCTAAAACAAAAGAATGTTCTGTGGAAAAGGGAACTGGTGACGCACTAAGAGAATCCAAAGTGAACGGGGATGATCATCATGAGGAAGACATGGATATGAGTGACTGAAGGTAGCTTCCTTGGGAGTCCAGCTGTACACATGCGTCAGTGTCATTCCTTTGTGATTTCTTAATGCTGTATTTGTTCATCTCAAACCTTAGATGTATACAGCTCTGAACTACAAATGGTTATAAAGCTCCTGATGTTCATACTATTTACATCCAAAAGCTTTTAGAAAATGAGACATGGGTAACCAGTCCTTGACATGGTGAAATCTGATTGAGTAACCACACAGTTGTACTATTCTGGTGCCGCTTTGTAACAAAGATGAAAAGCTGCATGCATCTACAGCAGGCATGGATTGTTTTAGTTGTATGATCTCCTTTAAGTAAGTTCACTTATAGTATTTCTAGAATTTGATTCATTGCCGTAATAGAGCCATGTAGGGAATGCACTGATTGCATGTTAATGTGGCAGGAATATCCTAATGTCATTAAAACTTCTCCAACATGATGGATCTACTTATGGTCTTGTTTGTTGGCATGACAAATTAACATCCTTATAGTTACATCTGGAAATAAGTATTTGAATAGATAATCCTTTAAGCCTTGTGGCTGAATTTTTGTGGCTTTTGTTTAACTTCGAAAGGTTATATTATGCACTAACCTTTTTTGATGGCTGCTTCGGCTTTCATTACAGAAACAAGATTTCAAAAGAAACTGTCTTTGGCAGTGAGTAAATAGCATATTTTGAAGTAGAGTTGTATACTTTTTCATACGGTGTTTCGGAATTTTTTTCCTGAAATAATTTATTTTACACCTATATCAGTGAAAGCTGTCCAGAGTCCATCTATAAAGGAAAATTATCTCTCGTCCTGATTTTCAATTTTCCACTTTTATTAATTTGTTTTAATATGTGTTGGAAAAAAGGGGTAGTGCATTTTAAATTGACCTTCATATGCTTTTAAAATGTACTTGATAATGTACTTTTTATTTGAGCTCAAGTTGTATAAAACCAGTAAATTTGTGTTAGTGTTACTGCAGTAGTAATCCTATGCCCACAGTGATTCCATGTTAAATGCATAGTAGTATGGCAACTGTTCTCTTAGTTACAGGAGTTTCAAGCTTCACTTTTGTGCAGTAAAAACAAGAGTAGGCTACAGTCTGTGCCACGTTGATGTACAGTTTCTGAAATTGTTTTACAAGACTTTGATAATAAAACCCTTAAATTTATGTTCATTTTCCTGTAAAACTGTATTTGTATTTATTTACAAGTTATTGAATGTATGACATTTACCTCATTTCATTTTACAAATTCCCCTTTCAATCTACATACTTACATATGATAAAAAGCTATTACTGTAGTGATTAGTTGCCATCAAAATTGTCAAAGTTGATTTAGTATCTATCTAAAACAGTCTCTTAGTGTACAGTCCTCATATTTTGGGTGTAAGGATTCAGTAAAGCAAAGAACTTCAGGATAAATGAATGATCCCACCTGTATCTAGTAAATTTATATTTTCAGTGAGATAATCTGCCTTTATTAAAACAGTGTAGCAACTGTCAATGGTGTGTACTGACTGTACAGTACTGAATAGTATATTCATCTATGACACGAGTAGGACTAGAGTAGCTGGGGTTTGGGGGAAAATGAAACTTGGAAGTATAGTTTTTATCCAAGTTTGGTAATTTTTTAACTTTTAAAATTGAAATGCCATATAGAAAAGCAGTGTTGTTTTTACAGTTTGTAGTAACTTTTTAAAGATTTTATCAAAAGGAATTTTGTCTAAAAAGTTCTAGTAATGATCCTAATAATCATTTTAAAACAGTTGATAGCAAATGACATTTACTTAAACTTAGGAATCTTTTTTAGTAAATAAAGGTTGAACCATAATGATGTTGCCATTTTTATAAAGCAAAAACAAGTAAAACCTAATATTACTCAGTCTTTCCTCACTTTTGATCAATGAATACAAATATACTTTTCAAAAGGGATTAAGAAATTTTTGGCTATAAAATAGTGCCACTGATCCAAGATACCATAGTGAAGGGAATCCATACTTAAGGTTCTTTTTCTGTGAACATTTTATGCACAAGACTAGAGTTGGACAGGCACAGGCCTTCACAAGATAATCAGCTGAGGTCAAGTGAACACTGCCTCTACACTTGAGTTTTGCTCTGTATTTAGTAGTAACCGATTAAAAAATAAAGGTGGTTTTGTTAGAAAAAGTGTTTGTCCTATTTGCTTAATTCCTTCAGGAGTGAATAAAAGGTAGTGACTGTGTAAGAGTCTGGTCATGAGATTCAGTTTTATTTACAGGCGGGGAGACCTGCATTATGTTCATTTTCCTAATTATAAAACAGGATTGGTACCTACCTTGCAATGTAGTTGGTAGTTAGGAATTAAAATGTGGGGGCCTGTGTTGCCTGGGTCAATAAAAATGGTACCTGCTATGGAGCTTTTCAAAATAAGAGTAATTGGAGGGTAATTGGAGGTAATGATTTTAGCCAAAGCAATACGATAAATGTTACACAGCTAAGACTAAAAAGGCCATGTTACCCCTTTTCATTTTTGTAAAGATGAGTTTCAGTAAGTTTCTAGGCAGTGATTACAGTATATTTGTGTGGAAGATAGGTTGATGTTGGGTACTTACAAACAAGGCTTCTACTGGAACAGTACAAACTAATTTTACCAGAAGTTGCAGCTTAACAGTTAAATTCAGGTATGGCTACTATAGGGACTTCACAAGCCAACTTTTCCTCTGGCAGACAGTACCACCATCCTCATTTGGGCTCAAGATTAACAGGCTTAGGATCAATGCTGCTTCAAGATTGACAGACATCTTTTAAACAACTTGAGATTTGTTCCTTTTTGTCTCAAATTTAGCTGATGCATTTCATTCCTGTGATAGCGATAATACTTATCTAATCAAGTACATACAGTTGCGTTTACTTTGGTGAAGAATGGATGTAATGGAAATGCTATTGGTACTTCTAAGAAACACCCAGAATGTCTCTTCCTAAAGCTTTATTAGTAAAAGTAGTTTCTAAATGAGATTAATTCTAGAGTTGTAGATTTTTGAGTCTTTTACTGTTTGCTACCATTTTCACTGTATGAATTCATTTAGGAATTCTTGGCAAAAAGAATATACTAATTACCAGCAATCTAAGAATTCACAGAATAAGGACATCATTTTCAACTGATGTTCCTCAAAAATAATTTAGGAAGTGACATGTTCACGTTCTTTTCAAAATGTCACTTAGGTTATTTCCCCAGTGCACCATCACTAAACCAGTGGCACAAATTAGTTATGATGTCTTTTTCTTAAAAGCTAGTTAGCTAAATAAAGTATGATTTATGCATAAAAAATCAAAGGCCTAGAGTCACAAAAAATGGAATGTTACAATTCTCTTGCTTTAAAAATCAAGTTTGGGAACACAAGCCTGTAGATTAAAAGCACTTCTGACCAGTCAGCATTCAATCAAAGAAACAACAAAAAGGTTTGGTACAGGTCATTTGACCTTAAATATGGGAGCTGGTTAAGTGGTCTCAAAGCTGTTTATAGTCTTTGCATGATACTGGAGATTGAAGCCAACAGGCATTTGGGAAGGGAAGATGGAGAGGTAAGTTGGAACCACATGCACAAGCTGGAACCAAGGATGGGCTGAATCTCAGGTCTGGTCTCATTGTTTCTGACCTGGGTGACAAAGCAGAAGCCAGGACCCTTCGAAGCCAGGACCCTTCGTCACGAAACTAAGCACACATACCTAGCCCATAAGTCAGAGGCTGAAGGAGGAGATGAAGTGCTGAGTAACTGCAGACCTGGGTTCCACCTCTTCCCAAAGGGGCCAGCAGATAAGCCACAACGTGTGTAAGTTACAAAATTTCGGCTTCACCTCTCTAAAACTCCACCAACTCATTTCCATTCAAGCACCCCAGTCAGTCACTGTTAGCCACCTTTAGGGACCAAGAATACTATGAAATGTATAGATAAGTGGTGGGTTTTATTTTTTTGTTGTTTTAGTCATTTTCACCTGCAAAACATGATCAAATTCAGGAATGCCTGCCAAGTACCCTTCTTTAAAACCCTTAGGAGATTTTGCTTATGTATTGGCAGGTGCTGTTGCACAAGTGAAATCGTAGCTGTACCACAGGTGCCATTATGACCATAAGTACTATTCTAAAATGAGCTTATAATTTTAGTTCATTACTAGGTAGCACTGTAAAAAGGATCACGTGACCTGAAAATGCAATTTAATGCTTCAGATGACATTTTTAGATGGCAATCTAAGATCTTACTATTGCCCCAGATTTCTGACAAAAGGCTTTGCAAAAGTAGTTTGTTCATTCACAGTATGCAAATGGTCAACTTTTAGCAAGATTAATTTTGCTATCTTTACAAGTGGTGTACTGGGGCAGGTTTCACCATCAGTTTCCAGTTTCCATATAGAGCAACTTTGGTAAGGCTGCATTTTGTTCATTTGAGAAAACATGGTTAAGATACCTTTTGCTCAAGTTAACAGCAGAGGTATACTGTGTTCCATACTAAGCAATACTTCTCTCAATTTTAAAGGCAGGGCTTCAAATTCACCTGATTTCCTAACTGCAACTTTCTCAATCATGCTGACTGCAAATAACAGTAACATAAATGAGCAAAAGGAAGCACCCTTAATTCAATCGGAAAATATTTACTGCAGCCCTTTTCCGTGCCCTTGAAACAGGATAGGATCACTGCTGTCGAGTTAGTGAAAACTAGGGTGAAGGGGTTGCTAAGTGATCATTACTCACTCCCCGATCTCAAGGTGGGAGTTATAAACTGCACGAACAACATAAACACCCATTTCTATTAGTATGAGTGGGGCTCAATACCAGTGCTAAGAAGAAACAAACCAAATTGTTTTTCAGCTTCTGTCTGCTCTTCTCTAAAATGTGTTCATTTCCAGACCACCATATGTTCCTGGATTCACAATAATCAGAGCACCTACTTTATGCCTCCTTTTTATGAATTCTGACAATTCCCTATGAGTATCTACAGACTGAAGCAGATTGTCTGTAGGGAATTATTTAAGACAAGAATCACATCTCCTTTGGATACTGGTGGCAGGAATGTCGAGCATTTCAAAATAGCCATTTAAGGTGATCAATTTCATAGTCCCCCAAGATTAAACCTTTCTTCAGTCAGAAGGCATATACAATTTTAAGGACCTACATCACAAAATTTAGCGCTTCATGTGGAATTATTAAAATATATGGTGTTTTCCTTCCTTGAAACACAGCTTCACTGATTAACTGGATTAAAAGGCACATTTTGAAAAGTCTAATGTGAAAAGTTTATTTGCATTAATAACTTCCTTGTTTTTACCATCATAAGAGATACTGACATTTGTTTGTCCTTTATGATCAAATAAAAGACATTTGGAATGGATCATCTCTTTATACTATTCTTTATGAAAGAAAAAGATAAGAGTTAAAAACAAAATCGAAGTGCAAAAGTTTTCAGTAGTTTTCCTATCTCCAGTGTACCCCAGCAAAATATTCACAGCTTTCAGGACATTGACAAATTCCAAGTTGCAATTTACCATGTTTTTTTCCTCCCACTAAGTTGCCTGCACTAATTTTTAAAAATCTATAGTTTATTCCTGAAAGTGTATCATTCTCACAAAGTAAGAGAGCCTAAAAGTGACAGTGATGACAGTGATGACTGCCGATCAGTGTCTCAAACCTCACATAATCACTGACAGGGTAATTCAATCTCTAAGTCACTTGATTTATAAGCATTCCCAAAATAATTGGGATCAACTTGTATTCAATAAACCTAGTCTGGGTTTACCAATTCTTTCCACAAAACTCAACAGACCCACATCAGGTAGTAAGTAATTGGTCTTTGAATTTTTAACTATGATTATTTTTCTTCATTATAAAATATATTTAATACAATGTCAAAATATGCAATGTAATATGTTATCAGCATGTAAGATGCAGCTTTAAAGATGTTTATTATAAAAATCTTATGATTGATGCTTTGGATTTGTAAATAATCTTTTCAATAAAGGTTTCTAAATTCTTTCAAATTATTTAAAATCCTGGAAAAAGTTTAAACTACTGGTCACTCTAAAAAACCTGACAAATGCATTCTGACACAAAATCAGGATACATTTTAAAATCATCTCTTAGGCTAACTTCTTTAATACAACATAACATATTATGACTGTTATACATTACTCTCCCTAATTTATTTTCATTCTTGGACCACTAAACCATCTTGGAACAAACATGAAAAAATTTTAAGTGCAAAAATGAGTAATGCATGATTTTAACACTTTGAAGAAAATTAAAACCAATAAATATTTTGTGATTTAAAAAAATAAACAGTAGGAATTATCGATCTTGTGTACATTTCTGGAATTCAACTTATAACAAATATAATTCTGTTAGCATATAAAAATGTTTTTACCTAACTTTGAAAGCATTAAATATGTAGGGATGTCCAAAATGTGGGTTGTTGCTTAAAACTGACACGCATCCTTATTCCACTAAAAACAAAACAATCAGAATGATATGTACTTATTAGGAACAAGTTTAAAATTTTGGAATTCTTTTAAAGTGCTGAGATTTGGAAAAGGACTATCTTTAAGCATGCTGACCATACCCTATTATGAACACAAAAAAAGACTTTAAAACTCAAGTTTAGAGAAAAAAATAGAAGTTCTATGAAAGGAAGATTAGTAACAAACATTTTCCATTGAAGAAAGAATTCAGGTAAAAACAAATAGCACCACAATGAATTGCACTAAGGTGCTAAAGGAGGTACCTTATTCCCTGCAGAGTGAACGCTCCTTCTGAAATGTATTGCAACATATATATGCAATTGTTTAATGGGTACCATTTGGTTCATTCATCTACAGAAAATTGCATTCCTTTCTAGTTCATTATATTGAACAAACATTCAAATTACTGAACTATACATAAAGTTACATAGTTTACATTTTATGAAAACAAAGTTTGAAGGAATATTTATAAATGTCACCTTGAATATAAGATGACAAGTGTAAAAGGACTCCATATCTCTTAAGACATTTAATTTATGTTAATGGTCCAGGAGTGTTTTAAATATAACTATAGATATATTTATATGCATATATATTTCAACAAGAAGTGTAAAAATTTTAAAAACAAATCACAGCACTCATAGCTGTTTTACATAAGAAGTACTTAGGGTCATTAAGGTGTCAAACTATTACACTATAATATGTATATTTTTAAAAAGACTGAAAATGGCACATCAGGAAACTAGCTGAGATTCTTCTTAGAGGCCCATTTCATATCGTATTACTGATGTGTCAATTCCTGTAATTCCCTTTTCTTCACTGAAAGTACGTGTCCCTTCCACTCTGCTTCGCTTGTGAGGTCTCTGCACTCTCTTGCCTTCCTTGGTTAGGTGGCATCATTTTCCACGTCAGTTAAAGATCAGGAAAACGGCTCGGGTCTTCCTTGTAGTCATCAGGTATAGTAAAGATGGAGCCATCAAATTCGTCATATCGAAACTCCTGAAAAGTCACAGTGGCTGTGATCGTAGGAAACACAGGTATATCTAGAGGACAATCAATGATAACATGGTAAAATGAAATGTTAATCTACTTAAGCACTACAGAATACTATTAGAGATATCTATACTCCTTTAATATAAAAAAAAATTATCCAAGCACCAGACCAATTCTAACATGTTTATTACTGAGTGTGTGTGTCTGGGGGAAGGATTTGGCTATTTGGTGAGGAGGAAAAAAAAACACAAAGCATCAAGAATTACGTCAAAATTTCAAGGTCCAACTGCTTCCCAATCTTCTCCAAGAGTTCAGTGGTTGTGACAGAAACCAAATGGCCCACAAAGCCTAAATATATACTATATTTCAGAAAAGGTTTTAGTCATTGACTATACAACTGTAAATAAAAGAAAAACATCATGTATTTATGAAGATTACATTTTGGTTGGGAGACAGAGATAACAAATAAGCAAAAAAGTAATTGTGCCCACCACATATCTAGAAAAACTAAAGCATGGCAGGGAGATAGGGAGTCCCAGTGTTTGAGGGTAAGAGTTCTTAAAGAGGGTGCTCAAAGAAAAACTTAATAAAGCGGCCTTTCAGCAAAGACCAAACATAAGAATATCCCACAGTTGCCGGAAGGAAGAAAATTCCTTCCAGGAAAAAATTTTACAAGAAGAAAATTCCTAGAATAAGTACAAAAGCCCTAAAAAGAAAGTGGTTTATTCTGGGAACAGCTAGGAGACCCATGTGGCTTCAGCCACGTGAGTCCGTGGAAGATTAGCAGCAGATGAAATCAGAAGGAAAAAAAAGCACCGGGTCCAGGAAAAGTATTTGGCTTTCTCTCTGGATGAAATGGGAAGCCAATGGATGATGTGAGCAGAGTAGTAACATATTATGGCTTAAGTTTTAGCAGATAAAAAAATGTAGCATAACCAGAAAGTCCATGAGTGTGGTATGCCTCTCCACTTGTTTAAATCTTCCATTACTTCCACCAGTTTGTATCATTTTCAGCATACAAATACTGCACATTTTTCCTAGATTTACACCTAAATATTTCCTTTTTTTTCCTGACCAATTATAAATATCATTAATTTTTAATTCTGGTGTCTATGTGTTCATGTTAACAAAGAAAAATACGACTGATTATTGTTTGTACCCTGCCATTTTGTTAAACTCACTTATTAATTTTTTTGGTAGAATCTTGGGATTTCCACTTATTGAATTATGTCATTTGCAAAGGCAGAAAGCTTTCTTTCTTCCTTCCTTCCTGCTCTGAATACCTGTTTTCCCCTTTATTCCTTCCTGCAATTGCTATACTTTTGGTTTCTGTAAGCCTGCGGTGATATCCTGTTTCATTCCTTGTATTGGTATTTTGTGTTTTTTCTCTTTTATCATTTTGCTAATAATCTGTTGATTTTTATTGGTCTTTTCAAAGAACCTGCTCTTTGCTTCACAGGCTTAGTCAATATGTTTTCAGTTTTCTCTTTCAGTTATTTCTATGCTCCATTATTTCCTTCCTTCTGGTTGCTTTGGGTTTATTTTGGTCTTCTTTTTCTAAGTTCTTGAGGTAGGACCTTAAATTTTTTACACTTTATTTTTTTAAATCCTTGTCCAAGGACATATTTTTTTTATTGATTTTAGAGAGAGGGGAAAAAAACACTGATGTGAGAGAGAAACATCCACCAGTCATCTCCTGTATGCACCCCGACTGGGACCAAACCAGAAACCCCGGTATCTGCCCTAACCAGGAATTGAACCTGGACCTTTCTGTGAACAGAAAAATGCTCCAACCAACTGAGCCACATACCCCAGGGCCCATTTTTTCCCCTTTTCCTAATGTATATCCATCAGGTACTATAAATTTCCCTCTCAGCACTGCTTTAGCTATATCCCACAAATTTTGATATGTTCCAATTTTATTATTTTCACTTAGTTCAACAGATTCCTTTATTTTACTTTAGGCTTCATTTCTGATTTACAAACTACTTAGGAGAATGTTCTTTAGTTTCCAAGTGTTTGGAGATGCTCATGTTATTTTTCTATCACTAATATCTAATTTGATTCTACTGTGAAAGACTGTCAGTTCTTCTACAATGATTGAAGTTTGTCTTACGGCCCCAGGATAGAGCCCATGTAGGCATATGTTTCCATGGACACTTGAAGAGTGTGCACTCCCATGTATAAGGGAGCCATGGACAAAGCCAACGGGGTTGGGGATGGGATGAATGTGGGGGGTGGGGGTGGGGCGGGGAAGAGTGGTGGGAGAAATAAGGACAACTGCAGTGGACTAAAAGTAAAAATAAATAAAGTAAAAGAATAAATTAATTAAAAGAAAAAAAAGAACGTGTATTCTGCTGATGTTGGGTAGACTGTTCTATAAATGCTTTTGGTGTATGTTGTTGTATGGTTATTCTACATCCTTGGTAATTTTCTGTCTAGTTATATCAACTATTAAAAAAAAAGGGTGCTGAAGTCATTTATAAGTCTTTAAATTTTCCTTTTATTTTTTTTTTTCATCTATCCTACAGATCTTCTGTTTGGTGTATATAAATTTAGAATTGCTTTTCTTCTTTGTGCATAGACCATTTTATCATTAAATAATACCCCTCTCTGTCTCTGGTAATTTTCTTTGCTCTGAAATCTACTCTATGTAATAATACAGCTAGTCCTGTTACCCTTTCATACTTCCTTTCCATTTCTCTTTCACATTCTATTTGCCTATATCATTATATTTGCAGCGTTTCTTAAAGACAGCATATAATTCAATCTTATTTTTAAATCCATTTTGTCAATTTCTATCTTTTAAAGTCTCTTTAACTATTTACATTTAATGAAAATATCTACATATTAAGATTTAAGCCTGCCATTTTTATTTTCTTTCCTTTTTCTTTTTTCACTTTCTTGCCTTTCTGTAGGTTACTTGTAGAAAATGAGAGGCTTAGGAAACTCCAGGACAACTTTAAATGTTCCATTCCAACATCCAAATCATAGGGGTTCCAGAAGGAAGAAAGACGGAATAAGAAATTGAAAACTTATTTGAAAACATAATAGAGAACTTCCCTAATCTGGCAAAGGAAATAGACTTTCAGAAAGGCCAGGAAGCTCATAGGGTCCCAAAGAACTTGGACCCAAGGACCCACACACCAAGGCACATCATAATTATATCACCCAAGATTAAAGATAAGGAGAGAATCTTAAAAGCAGTAAGAGAAAAGGAGAGAGTTACCTACAAAGGAGTTCCCGTAAGACTCTCAGCTCATTTCTCAAAAGAAACCTTACAGGCAAGAAGGGGCTGGAAAGAAGTAAGTGAAGTCATGAAAGGCAAGGATCTACATCCAAGATTACTCTATCCAGCAAAGCTTTCATTTAGACTAGAAGGGCAGATAAAGTGCTTCCCAGATAAGGTTAAGTTAAAGGAGTTCATCATTCCCAAGCCCTTACTATATAAAATGTTAAAGGGAGTTATCTAAGAAAAAGAAGAAGATCAAAATAGGAATAGCAAAATGACAACAAACTATCAAAAACGGAACCTAAAAACAACAAAAACAAAAATGAACTAAGCATACAACTAGAACAAGAACAGAATCACAAAAATGGAGATCACATGGAGGGTTATCTGCAGGGAATGGAGGGGGCGTGGGGGGGAAAGGCACAGGGAATAAGTAGCATAAATGGTAGGTATAAAATAGACAGGGGCAGGTTAATAGTACAGGAAATATAGCAGCCAAAGAACTTGTACATATGACCCATAGACATAAACTAAGGGGAGGATGTGGGTGGGAGGGGATATGCAGTGCAGAGGGGAATAAAGGGGGGAAAGTGGGACAATAGCATAATCTATAAAATATATTTTTAAAAAATGTTGGGCTACAGCTCTGGCTGATGTTCCTCAATGGACTGAACACCAGCCTGTGGACCAGAAGGTCACCTGTTTGATTCCCAGTAGGGCACATGCCTGGGTTGCAAGCCAGGTCCCAGTTGTGGGCATGTGAGAGGGGCAGATCAATGTATCTTTCACTCATTGGTCTCTCTCCTTTCCCCTCTCTCTAAATAGTAAAATAAAATCTTAAAAAAAAAAAAAAAAAAAGAACGGGCTGTATCAGAGAAATTCCTTCAAAGAAGTACTGTAGGCTTCTTCCCTTTCCATATAATCAAAATATTTATTATATATATATATTGAACATGGGGTCTGAAAAGTATGAGAATCTCATATATTCCTTTACTGCTCTCTATTATAGTTTGTCACTGTGCCTCTTAAAGTACCTAGAAAGGAGGAGTCCAACATTTGAACCATTTTCAAGCTACAGAAAATTACAGTGGGATTTTATGCTTCTGCAGAAATGCTCACATAACAGTTGCTATCCATACGTCAAACACACAGCTCTTTATTGCTTTAGTTTTCTAACCATTTCTTCAAGTAGACATTAAGGTGTCAAGCAGACATCCCAGTGCTTTTTTAAGGGAATCTAGTGACATTTTGAAAACATGCTTTCAAATCCATTTTAGTCCACAAAATGCTTTGCAACTTTGGTAAGAGTAGGTCATTTAACTTTTAGCAATGAAAGCATTATTTCTGAGAATAAAGCATTTTGGCCTAATTATTCTGAGATGCAGTTAATATTGAATGAAGCAAGATAAAACATATCTGAGGGATTATATAAAGCTTACATTTACTATATGCTTATTTTTATCCCCCAGTAGAATGTAAACACCAGGAGGCAGGGATTTTTAGTCTCACATCCCTAAGAAAGCACCTGTCACACAAGCGCCCATTGAATGTCTGACAGCTGGACTGACGGGTGATACTGAATACTCTCTAAAGTTTAAAGGAATGTTAAATATAAGCCTAAACTCCAAAAGAACCTTTTAAACAATCTCTTGTTGCCAGTTTTCTGACAGTTAAGAAGATAAATATGTACAAAAAGAGAGATACTATTTCTAAAGATCACTGCTTAAGATAAAATTAAGTTTAAATATTTGAAAACAGAGTGAATGAGTATCATTTTATGTATAAATAGTGACTGTTATGTTGACTCTGGAAACACTTTCACTATTCAGAAATTCAGAGTCTCCTAAAATCTAGTCTCCATAGTTCACATTAAAGACATTATCACAGTGCATCATTAAGTTTACCCACACCCTCTTGTATGAAGTATCTGATACACCATACATTTAATTTAAATCAAGTAGAATTTTCCCTGGCTGGTGTAACTCAGTGGATTGAGCGTGGGCTTTTAAACCAAAGGATAACGGTTCAATTCCCAGTCAGGGCACATGCCTGGGTTGCAGGCCAGTTCCCAGCAGGGGATGCACCAGAGGCAACCATACATTGATATTTCTCTTCCTCTCTCCTTCCCTTCCCCCTCTAAAGATAAATAAATAAAATCTTTATAAATAAATAAAGTAGAATTAGAACCCTCATTAGGCACTTTATATATTTTGACAGAAGATGATTATCAAAACATGTAATTACCAAAATTTAAAAAATTGTTAACTAGGAAATCCATTCTCTTTCAAAGCATATATCTTTTCTTTTTTCCTTAAAGGGAGAGAAACATCAACGTCTGGTTGCTTCTTATGTGGGCCCCCACTGGGGACCTGGCCCAACCCAGGCATGTGCCCTGACTGGGAATCAAACCAGGGATCATTTGGTTCACAGCCTGCACTCAATCCACTGAGGTATGCCAGCCAGGCACATATATCTTATTATAAATGTTAGTAAACAATTCCATATTTCTAATAAATATGAAAATTATAAGCAATTTTTCTCTTACCTAGTTTTACAGGAAAGCCTGGAGGAAGCTTCATCTGAACAAATTCTCTAAGCTTGTTAAAGTGCTTGAAGGGAGCTATTACTTCCAAAACATTCAATATTCTGAAAAATGGAAGAAGAAAAAATGTTTTCAAGTGGATTTCTTTACGTCCTTCCGTTGTTTTATAACCACAAGCTTCAAACTTAGACATTATCACTAACTTCAACATAATAAGGATGACCAAATGATACCTCCTTCTTTCTCTTGAAATTTTTGTTTTTATTATTCTTTCTACCATGTCAAAGTTATAACTTCTACATTTTATTGTGCAGCCATAATTTCCACAGTTGCTTGACTTTAGGTCTATATTTAAATAAATTCAAGGCTTATTACACCCATCTTCTTCCTAAAGTTTATACATTCCCATGTTCTTTAATTTGCTCCACTACTGGGGTATCTAAATTTCACTGTCGATTTTTTGTGTGTGAAGAGATTTTATGTGCTTAGTATTCCTTGATTTCTTGCAGATTTAATAAGCGAGTATCTTTTCTGCATTCTGAAAAAGAAATTTGGCTGGTGTAAAATTTCAGTTTATACTTCTTTCCCTCTGAACTATTTCATAATATCTCCTAACATTCAGTACTGCATTATACTGTAGCTTCTCCTTTCATCTTTTGGTTTAATGGATTTCATTTTCAAATAATATTACTTTCTTTCAAAACAGGCACATGGCTGCTAAATTTCTTGAATTCTTTTTTAATTGCCTTGATATGTAAATAATATCTTAGCTAGGTATGCTATCAGATCACACTTTCTTTGTCTTAGAAATGTTAATGCCTGAATGACATTAAACTTCTTCATGAAAATTAAAGTCACATAGTTTCATTGGATAATTACTGTTACTTATCGTTCTCATCAATTTTTCTTAAAGCCTAACATTATGCTACAGATTCCATTTTCCTTACAGAGAAATTTTCGTTTTTCATATTTAGAATGCTATTTTGGTTGCATTTTGGAGGCTTTCTAGGTAAGTGGAACACCAAGGATCCTTATGTTGAACTGTCTTTGTCCCCCATAAATAAATAGTATTCCTCTAATTACTCTGACCTCTTCTTTCACTGCACTCACTATGAATATCAAAATTTATTTTTTTTGCTACAACTATTCTATTTACTGTTGTTACTAAGGATCTGCTTTGCAATAGTCCTATTTATGCTTAATTTATTCCCTTAGCTTTACAATCACTTTTTTATTTCATTTTATTATCTCATTTAGAGTGGTCCACTTTATTCATTTCATTCTTTTAATGCTTTTCGATAGCACTTACAAAGAATTTTCTTCTTTCTTTCACCTATGTTTTATTCTAGAAAGATTTTTTTGGTCTGGCTTTTACATGCTATTTTCCTTACTTTACTTTTCTCAGGGGAAATCATTATAAATGATGCATTTATAGGTACTAATACATCCATTTTTTCCCACATGTTAGCATCTCTGAAATTGGGATAATTCCTAAAATTGATAGCATCCTATTATTGACCACATTTCTTCTGTATTGGAATGTAGATCTGGTACCTGTTTTAGTTAACTGGGCCCAAAATACGGCAATAATGCAGATTTGTGTGGCTCACCCCCTTCTACGTCTCCCAGGAACTGTCTGGCTCCACCTCTGATCTGTGGCCTGAGCACTGCAGAGTGAGCTCCATTTATTTACTTTTCTCTGGTTTGGCTATTGGAGACTATAAGAAATATATAGACTTTGTAGATAAAAGTAGGTCCCACTCTTTTCTATGATAATTTGTTTTAATGTATTAGGCCAGACTGGTAGAGAAGCAACTATGAAAAGAGAATAGCCCGGGGCTTTAATTCATTCCCTACTTTAGTGAGGAGCCTGAAGTTTCCGTTCTATCAGAGTAAACTATAGCTACCTTTCTCCCATTCCACCCACTTTTTCCAAAATTGAATTTTGTTTAAAGATCTAATGTGTTTTAATTAAGTGATTCATGGATCAGGTAGCACCCCATCTAGTACTTTACTTTAAAAGGTGCTCCAAAATGAATTTTTTTAATGAGCATCTGATGAGTACAACTTTGAGAGATATCCACTGAAATATTGTTTATAACAATGACAAACTACAATCAAAATGTTTATCAGTGGTGGGGTTGATAAAATAAATGACAATACACCAATACTGCAAAATACTAAGAAAAAGATACACTGAAAAGTAACTATAGGAAGTACAAGATACACTCACTTTTAAAAGAAAAAAAATCACAGAACAAAATGTAGACTATGCCAATTTTATAAAAATGCAAAAATACACAGAAAAAGGCTAGATAAAAATAAACAATTCACCTATTAACTCTTAGTAAGGTGAAACTATAATTTCTCTTCTACACTGCTGTTAGTTTTTTAAAAAAACTAAGTACTTAAGTATTTTTCGTATATTTGATTGATTATGCCATTGCAGTTGTTCTATTTCCCCCCTTCATTCCCCTCCACCCTGCACACCCCTCCCCTACCATTCCCCCCCTTTAGTTTATGACCACATGTCTCAAGTTCTTTAGATTCTCAAGTTCTTTAGATTTCCCATACTATTCTTACCCTCCCCCTATCTATTTTCTGCCTACTGTCTATGTTACTTATTTTCTGTACCTTCTCCCCCCTTCTCCCACTCCCCTGTTGCTAACCCTTTATGTCATCTTCATTTCTATGGTTCGCTCCTGATCTAGCTGTCCTCATAGTTTGCTTTTGTTTTAGGTGTGGTTCTTAATAAATGTGAGTTTGTTGTCCTTTCACTGTTCATGTTTTTTTAACTTCCTTTTCTTAGATAAGTCCCTTTAACATTTCATATAATAAGGGCTTGATGATGATGAACTCCTTCAACTTGACCTTATCTGAAGAAGCACTTTATCTGCCCTTCCATTCTAAATGAAAGCTTTGTTGGATAGATGAATCTTGGTTGTAGGTCTTTGGTTTTCATGACTTGGAATACTTCTTTCCAGCCCCTTCTTGCCTATAAGGTCTCTTTTGAGAAATCAGCTGACAGTCTGATGGGAACTCCTTTGTAGGTGACTGTCCCCTTATCTCTTGCTGCTTTTAGGATTCTCTCCTTCATTTTAATCTTGGCTAATATAATGATGATGTGCCTTGGTGTGTTCCTTCTTGGGTCTAACTTCTTTGGGACTGTCTGAGCTTCCTGGACTTCCTGGAAGTCTATTTCCTTTGCCAGAATTGGGAAGTTCTCTTTTATTATTTGGTCAAATAAGGTTTCCACTCGTGGCTGTTCCTCTTCCCCTTCTGGTACCCCTATAAATTGGATGTTGGGGTGTTTAAAGATGTCCTGGAGGTTCCTTAGCCTCTCCTCATTTTTTTGAATTCTTGTTTCTTCATTCTTTTCTGTTTGGTCATTTTTTTCTTCCTTCTGGTCCACTCCCTTGATTTGATTCCCAGTTTCCTTTTCATCACTATTGGTTTCCTGTGCATTTCCCTTCGTTTCAATTAGTTTAGCCTTCATATATTCCTCTAATTTGTGGCTAAAATCAACCAGTTCTGTGAGCATCCTGATCACCAGTGTTTTGAACTGTGCCTCTGATAGGTTGGCAATTTCTTTGTCACTTAGATTTATGGGCTCTGGGGCTCTGAGTTCTTCAAGCCATGTTTTGATCTGTTTGCACCTGTTAGGTAGGAGGAGAGGAGCCTTAGTTGTTCACCAGGGCAGGGCCACCCAGGTTGCTGGTTTGTGATGCTGTATGTGGGGACGGGGTCAGAGAGGGAGCAATAGCGGTCCTCTCTGCTCCTTCCCACCCTGGGGCCTGCCTGATCCATGTCAATGCTCACTCCTTTGCTAGTTTATCTGCGCACAAATGTGTGACCACAGTCAGCCGGCCGCCTTTCACCTTCACTGGGTCCGCCCTTCGCTACCCCACACCTGGGATTCGCCCTTGGCTGCCTGGGTCCGGGGAACTTTTTTGCTCCACTGCTGGCTCCATCCCTCTTACCGGTTCGTTGTTGTTGGACTTCTGTATAGTTCAATTTTCTGTGGTTTGGCTGCATTTATTGTTGCTAAAACTTTGTTGTTTTTAGATTTGGTTGTGCGAGGAGGTAAAGTGTTTCTACCTACGCCCCCATCTTGGCAGAAGTCTAAAGTATTAATTTTATAATTAAAAATTATTCAAACACTTATCTGGTTAAAACAATAACAATGTTAATATTTGGTGAACTAGAAAATTTCTAGAAGGGCGCACACACTATCAAAACAATGGCTCTTTGCTTTTGCATTTCAAAGGCCTTAAATGAACTTAGATGCAAATATTATTACAGCCTTTAGGATTTAATAACTTCTTTCATAAACTTGTATGATTAAAAACAAACTTACGATTGAATTCCCAGGGGAAATTCCTGGCTCATGGCTATCGTGGCTTTAAATGTTTTCTTACTTTCTTTGCATACCAGTTCTCTACCAAGATGAGGAGCTCTAAAAGGGAAAAATATACATATTAGTGAAGATTTTCCATGTGCTATCATCTTCCTAAGAAGAATCTGTCCTCTTACAGTGACACTTAATTTGCTTACTCTAAGCATAGCGATAAATTACCATATTTTGCCTTGTATAATACACACCTTTTTGCCCAAATTTTTGAGTGAAAAATAAGGATGCACATTATACATGGGTAGTGCTGATTCCATATCTCTATTAAATGTTTTTAATTCTTTTATTTATGCTTATGCATTTAAAGTATAACTTTAGAAAGCAGTAATGATATCCACATGCAAAATAATACCCTGGAATACAATAATTGATTTTGTTTCTAAATATAAATAAATAAAAATTGAATTAAAAAATTTAAATGGAAGATTTTTTCCCCTGAAAGTCTGGGCCAAAAACATGGATAAGCATTATACATGAGAGCAATTATACACAGTAAAACACAGTAACATTATACTAAAGAGAAATGAGAAATGTGTGAGAAATAAGGGTAACAAAGTGTGACAGTTCAAAAAAATGACCATAACTCAATAAATTTTACATTGGATATGATGCTGTTAGTCACTTTTAGGAACGAAGCAAATCACAAAATAATTTTAGAATATCATTGTGTCTCTGGAATCACAATTCAATCTCTCTTATTGTCCACAGTTCTCAGCACACTTCGCAGAAATGATGTGAAGAATAAAAATTCTATATTAATTATAGAATACCGTACACTGAAAACATTTTGGAGAAGTTAGAAAAGTATAATAAACCTTTCAACATAAAAAATAATAGTAATCATTACAACTTCTTCCTAAGCATAGGGATAGGTAGTATTTTATTGTCTTCCAAAAGAAAATAATATTTTTTTATAAAGGATTGTACTTTACACAGTTGGCCAGGAAAAAAAACCTTTTTATTTATTGATTCATTCAAAATATTTATCATTCATCATTCTTTTATTCAACAAGTATATGTGGAATACAAACTATGTGCTAGTAATAACATTAGCAAATGTGTTATTTACGAATGGTAAGCAGCAGTCTGGCATAAGCTAAAACAGAGGGGTAACGACAGGAGATGAGTTTGGAAAAACAAAAAGTAGATGAATAGTGAATGTCTTTACATACCACACTAAAGATCCAAGATAATAACAGAATATAAAAAATCACTGTAAAGTGAACTCCAATAAGGAGCGTTACTGGGCAATTCCTCATATTTCCTCAGAACGTGTCCTATAGGCTTTCTAGAGCAGGTAAATTGGTAGCAGGGATGTAAAAAGAAAACTATAACTTAGTCAAAGAGTGCACATAATTGAGGATACTTTACGCTTATCATGACTAATCCATAATTTTCCTTTTTTTTTGTTAAGGGAAGGGAGGAAGAAAAAGAGGACGAGAGACATCAATGTCCCAACCTGGGACCAGGCCCACAACCCAGCCCCGAGTGGGAATCGAACCAGAGACCCTTTGGTTTGCAGGGCAGCGCTCATCCACTGAGCCATACCTGCCAGGGCCATAACTTCTTTTTCATCCTTACTCAAGGATATGTTTTATTTCAGAGAGACAGGAAGCATGACAGAGACAGAGAAACATCAATGTGAGAAACAATAATCGGTTGACACCCCTAAGCGCCCCAACCAGGGACTGAACCACAACCTAGGTGTGTGCCTTGGTCAGAAGCAGCAACCTTTTGGTGTGTGGGATGATGCGCTAACCAACACCACCTGGTCAGAGCATCTATATTTTTAAAGGTAAAATACTTGCTCCAGACAAAAGGGCTAATAATTCACTCTCAAACAATTTTTTTACCTAAATATTCATGTTTTTACAAATTATTCTTTTTAAAAACCAAAGAATACAAAATAAACAAAATAAAATGAAACAGCCACTTACTTTCCATTTTCAGCAGATATATATTCTTCCCATGTAATGGTGTTCTGAGGAGGAGGGGTAAGGGACTGTCTTCGAACCGGCTGTCAAAAAGAAAAAAAGAAAGAGTGAGAGGGAGGGAAACAGAGACACACAGTGAGAGACACAGAGAGAGGGAGACAGACAAGGAGGGAGGAAAAGAAATGACAGTTTAAAAAATATAAAAACATACAATAAACTGTTTAAACTACTAAACTGTTTCATCTATTTATATAATGCTTCGAGAATTTACTTCCAAGATAGTTCCATTATGATTTAAGCTCTATCAGTAATGCTTATTATCAGCTTTTAAAATTTCAAACATGAAAATAAATTATCGAGTAATAAAACCCATTCATTCAATGTTTTAATCTTCTAAAATGTTCCTGGCATTAGACTCCAATAATGAACATGGTAACTACAGAGAAAGTAAAAACTAACCTTGACTTGAACGGGCTTACAATTCAAAGAAAAAAAAAAAAGACATAAAGAGTTCATCAAAAATACAAAATATGATATGATCAAAGGCCAAATGAACTTACATAAAAAATAGTGCAGGAGTTTAGAAAAGAGAGCAATCTTCTATGGATAATGAATTCAGACTAGGGGACTGGGCTCATATTTACATGAAAGCAAAACACAGGTAGACTGTTTGATCAACAACTCTGATAAAAGGTCATGTCAGATTTCAAAACTTACACCTTGTCTTTGCTGAATATGAATTTAGATCACTCTCAAGAGCAAGAACAGCTTGGGTTAAGCCTCACAGAATCAAAACCCATCTTTGCTATTTCTAGCTTTTTGACTTGAGAGATGAATGTCTTTAAATCTCATTTTCCTTTCTGTACAATGGACCAATGACACTCATTAGATCACTGTAATAATTATTTGAGATGATAAATGGAAAATACTTAACACAACGCCCGTGCTTACCACACCAATGTTTTAAATCAACATAAGTAAAACAAAAACTTGTTGAGGGTGCACATAAAATCAGTGTTTAACCTACAGAAGCTGCATTAGAGTTTATACCACTATATTTGGATTAGGCGCTGGAGGATTACTTGCAACTCTCCAATATAATGTTTTGTTATAATCATCACCAATTAAAATACATGCACTTGAGTAAATAACCAATGTTTATGTGACTTGCAAGTCCATAGCAAGTCAAGCAGTATCAATTTTCACACCCAATTTATTTTTATATTACCAACTGTGACCAAGCAGCCATTAATTTTTAATATTAGTATATATTTTTTAAACTTTAAGATTTTAAATACAGCTCACTATTAAAATGGGATTGTCTCCTGAATTTGATAGAGCCCTCCCTTTACTTTTTTGACCACCTATTTTTTTTTAAAGATTTTTATTTATTTTATCTTTAGAGGGGAAGGGAAGGAGAGAGGGAGAGAAACATCAATGTATGGTTGCCTTTCGTGCATCCCCTGCTGGGAACTGACCTGCAGGGAACTGGCCTGCAACCCAGGAATATGCCCTGACTGGGAATCGAACCTCAATTCTCTGGTTCACAGGCCTGTGCTCAATCCACTGAGCTACACCAGCCAGGGCTTTTGACCACCTATTTTTTAACTATGCATGTTCATTTATGTGTATCTTTCCTAAAATGCTTATTATTTAAGTTTAAAAGAACTGTATTTCAAAAATTATCTATAAAATGCATAGAAATGTATCTTTTCTTCCTTAATGCCCACTGTCAAATATAATTAAACTGGTATCAGGTACATGCTGCTTTCCCTATGTTTATAAATTCCATGTCTAGGAGAGAAAAAAAACAGCTATTTGTATCTTTTTTTCTAATCAGACTTATCAGTTCTGTTGTGATGTTCTTTCATACTGCACCTGGCCACACTCAACAAAATAAAATTATATGTATAGATGAACATCTGATAGAATTAGTATTTTCTTTAAATTTACTCTATTTATAAATTGAACTCTAAAACAAGTTGATTATAATTCATCAGTTCTTCCCTATCAAATGTCCAAACAATATATGAGATATATCAGGTCTATACAGAAGGTATCCAGCCATCTAATATGAAAAATAGAGACATTTATTGAAGATACAAGATACAAGAAACACTGTACATAGGACAATGATGCCTCAGTCCCCTTCCAAGTAGGCACCTTGGGACCTCACACAGTTCTCCCAACTGCCATCAGTTGCCCTGTCATATTTTCCTGAATCTCACCAACAGTCTGAAATCTCTTCCGTTTCAAAGGTGATTTTTACTTTTGGGAAAAGTCAGGAGTTGCAGGGCACCAAATCTGAGCTGTAAGGAGGCTGAGTCACCTGGGTGATTAATGTTTCCCCAAAACACTCTGCACAAGAAATGATGCATGAGAGGGCACTGATGAAGCTGCCAATCACCAGTTGCCCTCAATCACTGAGGCCTTCTGAATCATCCAAATAGTTTCCAGGGAGGAATGTTCAAGCTTATTGCAAATTTAATGCAGATTCATTGCTCTACTTGCTCAGTCATTTTGAATGTGATGGCCACACAGTACACATGTTCACTCAACCATGTCTACAGCCCCCACTGACTAGTACAGTGAGGTCGTCATTATTCAAGCATGTGCATTCCAGTCCACTCTCCTTGGCTACCAGTTTATATCAGTGTCATACAAACCATTCCCCCTTCTATTAACAATGGCTGGGCCTTTTCTGGACAGACCTCATACAGATGGCAAATAAGCACATGAAAAGATGATCATTCAACCTCATTATGCATTCTACATATATGAACCTACAATTACCTCAAAATAAAAAGTTGAGTAAACAAAAACCAAGCAGGCTTTTATGTAGAAACTGATTGATGCATAGATTTAATACCATACTAATCATAATCCTACCAAGTGTTCTATTTTTTGTAGAATTGACAAGTTAATTAAAATATTCATAAAAAATTGTAAAGTTTGCCCTTGGCCTGGTAGTTCAAGTGGTTAGAACATTGTCCGGTGGACCAAAAGGTTGCGGGTTCGATCCCAAATCAAAGTGTGTGCAGAAGGCAACCAATCAATGTTTCTCTTCTCTTTCTCTCTCCCTTCCTCCTTTCCTTTATTCCTTCCCTCTCTCTCTTCCTCTCCCCTTTCTCTCTCTAAAATTAATAAAAACATATCCTCAGGTGTAGATTTAAAAAAGCCATAAAGTTCAAGGGGCTATGATTCACATGGGAACTGTTTTATTTGCTTTCTTACCAGAAGTCAAAAATCTTAATTATTTTATTTAATTCGTATCACTTTGTTGTATTATATAGCTATCCAAAATTAAACTATGTCTTAATTTCAATGTGCAAAACTATAGTTTATTAAAATACCATTTAAAGACCACTTTAACGATTCAAGTGCACCAAGTCACAATCTCTGCCCTAAAGAAAATTAAGTAATATACTGTAAATTTAAATATAGATAAATCAGAAAATCAGAGACAATCAGCAGATGGTCCATGAAATGGTATTCTATAAGGTTTTTGTTCCATGTACTCATCCCCAAATGGTTTGCTGACAAAATTAAGCAAAGGCAGCAATAACTAGCACATCAAAATCATTTTTAAAAAATAAATTTTAATAAAAGTTAAATAACAGTATAAGTTTGAAGAAACAGACTTTTTAAAATTTTTTTAAGATTTTTATTTATTCATCCTTAGAGGGGAAGGGAGGGAGAGAAATATCAATGTATGGTTGCCCCTTGTGTGTCCCCTGCTGGGAACTGGCCCACAACCCAGGCATGTACCCTGACTGGGAATCAAACCTCAACCCTTTGGTTCCACAGGCCCACACTCAATCCACTGAGCTACACCAACCAGGGCAGAAATAGCCTTTTGTCTGGTCAACAACGTGTAAGGGAGGCAGCTTTGTCAAAAACTGAGTTCAGCATTTCCTCTCCCAATTCATTTCTATTTTTGAACATGCCATATCCTTTATCTCGTAGTGATCAAGATATCATTAAATACCAGGTGGCTTCTGAAAAATTAAGTCTGGTGAAGCTCTACTCAATCCTAAAGCCTAAAAAAAAATGAGGAGCACAAAGAGGATCTGGCAGGAAGGGTACAGGATCACGCTAAACTAGCATGATCACAAATTTAACTTAAACATTTAATGGGGATTCTCAAACACTTTACATCTTGTGCTTATTACATTGAACCATGGCTGATTCACTCAATACACGAACTTTCTAAACATTAAAACATTTTCCTGGCATACACACACAGTGTTACCATGAATTAATTGGAACCTGGCATATTATTCTGAAAAGTCTGCCTATCCCTAAAACATTAATCTGGCACAATACCATAGGGGGAGACTAAGCATTCAAGAAATTCAAGCCTCCTCATAGTACCTTTTAATCTTTTTACATCATGATTTATATTTTATACCACAAACCAGAACTTATACATATACATATTTATAAAATACATACTCCTTGACACTTGTTGCATAAAGTAATAATGACCCCTACTGCATGTGATATGCTTTGGTTTTTCTCTACTATATTTAGATTTGAATTTAAAAAGTGTAGTCACAAACCACTAAAATTGATTTCATCATCTACTAGGAGGTCTCTGTCCTGCACTTTGAGAAACACTTCCCTAAAATTTAGTAAAATGTTAACATTTGAGGAATCTTAGTGAAGGATATCCAAAAATTGTTTGAACTATTTGAGGACTTCCTGTAAATCTAAAATTGTCAAAATAAAAAATAAATTTAAGAACCCAGGCCTTGACTGGGTGGCTCAGTTGGTTAGAGCATCACCCTCATACACCACATTGCAGGTTCGATCTCCAGTCAGGCACATATAAGAATCAACCTATGAATGCATAAATAATGGAACAACAGACCGAAGTTTCTCTCTCTTAATTCTCTCTCTCTCTCTCAAATCAATAAATTTAAAAAGTGTTTTAAAAAGAAGCCACCCCCCTCTTTCATCGTATTAGGGAATAAGACTGTGGAGGCAGTGAACACATCTCACACACCTTCGTGTTTCCCGAGTTCCCCTTCCCTTTCTCTACTGTCACACAAGTATCTGTACACAGCATGCTTTCAAACACACGCCGAGTAAGATGTTATGGGAAGTTACAGGCTAGAAATGATTCAAAAGTTAGTGGGCCTTTACTTAGGCCTTCAAAGCTGTCGAGTATTTCACTTGAGGAAGTAGAAAAAGAATATATATATATATACAAAGGGACATAGATTAAAAATTAACACTGGGTTTCACGCTTATAAAATGATATAATCTATTTGTTAGTGAAGCTTCAAAGACCAAGCTCAGATTCACAAAAATAAATCCCTCAAGGCCATATCAAAATAAATAAATAAAAGGTGTATATAGCCAACAAAACCTACAAGTGTACTTACATAAACCCACTAAATGCCAGGAATGAAGTCTGCCCCCTCTCTCCTTAGAACATTATAAATTAGAAATTATACCTCAAAATTCTGTTCCATTATGTTTCCACCTTTACTCAAGCTCTCCATAATGGCCTTATTTCGAAGAATATCTTCTTCACTGAGATGTTCTCTTCTTTTTCTTGATTCTAAAACAAGTCCATTTACCAGATAAAAGTCGGCCAGAAAGTTTCCTACTCTTTCCTAAAACATAATCAAATATTCAAAATAATAAAAAATTTTGCCTTACATTTTAAAATGTCTTACATTTTTAAAGTTTCAAAGTAATACACATACCTATATACCTATTTTGCCATAACATGTAACATTAAGGTATAAATACATATTCCTTTAGCACCTGAAATTATCTCAATATCCTATGTAATCTCTTGGATTAATATATAAAATTACATGTTTTAAATTGGCAAAGAAAATTTAAAACACACTGATATATAGCAGTTAGTCTAAATAAAAATACCACATAGTATTCCTTTAGATCTACTCCCAAGTAGCACAAAGCATCTGAAAACTTCAGCTGATGGTCAAACATTATGATAACAAGGAGGAGTCAGGATAATTACTGTTCCCATTTTATATAGAAAAGAAAGTGGACTACAAAGAAACAGTCTAAGTCACATAGAAGTCTCTAGTACAGCTAGAATTATTCGCCTGCTCCAATACTCTATTCTCTAACAGGATAAAACCTTAAGTTACAGTTGCTTGCTGCTTTCAACAAAGAGAGAACAGAGCAGTCTAGCTTACCAATACAGTACAACTGTCTACATTCAGAACTGGGGACAGGGAAACTCAAGAGGTATAAGGGACATCAAGAAGAGACCTGTTACTTCCTTTCAAAGAGGTCCTTCTTCAACATCAACCTTTACTCTTTTAACAGACCCAACACGTGGTCAGAGTTTGAAATGCCTTAGTTCTAAACAACATGATGGAAAATAAGCTTCCCATTTCTACCTGCATGCAAATCACTTGGTCTCCCTCTTACTACTGTTTCCTAGCATTCCAAAACTATGTGTTTACAGTTGCTTCCATGTCCACCTTGCTTTTGGTGGCCTCTTTCCCAGCCACCAGAAAGCAAAGCATTCTGCACTTGTTTCTACTTACAAAATGGGAACCATAAACATTACTGACTCCCTCCTAACCTATCAAAGATTTAAGAAGATCACCTAGATGCTGTTCAAGAGCTTTGAGCTACTTGCAGTAGCACTAGAAGAATAATAGCAGCTTCAATTTTCATCTTCTCTTGAAGTGATCCATCTAACGCTGCCCAGAAGAACAGAGTACAAACAAGACTTTAAACCAAAAAATGGATTGCAGTGTAGGCTCTCACAACTGGAAACCCTATCATGCTATTTGTTGCCAAATAGACTTAGAGAGGCAAGTTGAAGAATCTAGACCTCAGAGTGAGGATTTTTCTGTGGCTATGAAATGCTCAGATGATAAGTAGTTATTTTTGAAATCTTATAAAGAAAAAGCATTTATTTAAAAGTATACCATAACAATAAAAATTTTAAGTGTGTAGTTCCCATAATTCAGCCATTTTATTGCTTGGTACCTGTAACAGACACTGCCATGGAATATACAAGAATGGTAAATACAACATCATTCATAGTGGCAGAAAACTGGACACGAATGTGTGTCCATTCATCTAAATGTCCAAAAATAAGAGACTGGATAGATAAATTACAATATACCCAAACTATGGACTACTATGCGGTTGTTAAAGAGAATGAAGTAGTAATACTAATAAGAAAAAGCTCCTAAGACATACAAAAGAGTGGGGAAGGATGGTTTCGCAAAAAATAGATATGATACTTTATGAAAAAATAAATAACAACTAAGGCTATATATTACTATGGATGTGTATTTATGGAAAGCATTAAAAAAAGGTCTGAAGGACATACAAATGGATAACCTTGCAGAGAAGGGTTTGTGAGTAGTGGTCAAGCTTTATGTGCAGGTTGTGTAATGGTTAATTTTATGTCAACTTGGCAAAACTATGGTGCCCAATCGTTTGCTCAAACACCAGTCTAGCTGCTTCAGTGAAGTTATTTTTTAGATGTAATTATCACATAAGTCAGTAGACTGGGAATACAGCAGGTTACCTTTCATAATGTGGATAGGCCTCATCTAATCAACTGCACACCTTAAACGTAAACCCTGTTTCCCAAAGGAAAGGCAATCCTGCCTCAAGACAACAAAATAAAAACCATGCCTGAGATTCCAGCCTGAAGATTTCGGACTCCAGATTACATCAACTCTTCCCGGGATTCCAGCCTGCTAGACTGCTCTACAGATCTCAGACTTGTCCTTCATTCACATGAACCAATTCCTTAAAATCAACCAATCTCTCCCTACCCCTCTCTCCTTCTCTTTAAATATCTACCTATATATCTATATTTCTATATAGGAGATCCCTATATCTCTATACCTATGTCTATATAGGTAGATATTTAGAGAGAGAGAGAGATCTCCTATTGTTTTGTTTCTCAGAGAACCCTGACACTAGTACAGGCTGTTTTTGTTTTTCTAATAACATTATATTTGTTTCTCCTGTGTATAAGATAAAATAATATTTAAAAGCAGTAAGTCCTGGCCCTTATCTGATCTGGTTACTTATTCTTGACTTTAAAATTTTATAAAATGCTTCTCCATGTGTCTAATTTTAAAATTTTTTGAATATATTTTGAGCATTCTGATGTAACTTCTTGCTGACAGGTAAAATGGTAATTATGGAAAACCTTTATAATTTACAAAGGGGAAACCACCACTAAGATTTAATTTAATGAGGCTGCTGTAGAAATGTAAGCATATTTAATTTTAGTCATATATATAGAATACTGAAAATCAGATACTGGATAAATAAGTAGTTTAGAAGTCTAAAAGTAGAAAGAAAAAAAGGTCAAGGGAAATGAATTCGAAAGGGGAACCCTCTTTGTGGTCTTCCTGAGGAATAAATCACTAGAAATATAACGAAACCATAACAAGGCAGCTAACAAGAATCTTTGCCAACATAGAATTCAAATGAGTTAGGGGTGAAGAAGAGTAAAAGGGGACTAAATGGTAATGGAAAAATATATAATTAAAAAGAAAATGAAAAAAAGAAAAAAAAAGAATTCAAATGAACTAAACTTTCTCTCCTGGCTTCTATAAGAATACTTTCTAACCATGACAATTATAAGTAACCAACCATTATAATTCCCTATGTGGATTCAAAAAGGAGACAATAAACTACTTGAAGACAATTAATTCTTCCTGTATTTCCATCACACATTATTTTGGCAGCATTAAATACTAAACAATTTTTAAAGTTTCAAAATCTAGATTTGTACATACTGTTTTATCCTCCCGAAAAAGCCATCCTGTTTGGGCACGTGTGAAAGAAATTGACTTGGTTGATAGGGTTGCAGAGTAAATATCGCTACTCATTAAAATGTCAACCTCTTCTTCTGTTTCCATCTCTGATTCCTGAGGTGGGGGTAAAAGTTAAATATAAAAATCTACGTTTTCAAAGGTTATTAAGCATGACATGAAAATAACAAAATATTCTAAAAACAGTTACAGATTTTTAAACTATATATATCCAACTAAATTAGAATTATGACTAACTATGAATCTATAAATACAGGACACATGAAATATGGTACTGTTATGTATATTATTACAAACATGTAATGGAAACAATACTAGATAACCCATTACAGAAATATAGAGTATATATAGCGATTTAAAAGATTAATTAAAGAATTAAGTTGATAAGTCTAAGGCAAAATGCTCATATGAAGGTTTCATTTTGTTTCAACACAGATGAATCTTACTTTAGTTATTTTCTATCCAAACACCCACTACTATCATTTGAGCCTTTCTTTCCCAACAGTTCTAAGTGAAAGGGGAAAAAAGGGGGGGAGAGACAGAAGGAATGAAAGAGAGGGAGGGAGAGAAAGCAGTCCAGAAGGAATCTTCTCTCTATTTCTTGTAGGAAAAAATAAAGAAGAAATCCATAAATATCAACCTATGATTTCTAAACTTAAGTAGCTTTATTTCTGCATATTCTCCAGTGCTGACACACAGTAAGTGATCAAAAATACTTTTTAAATGAGGAAAAAAAGAAAGCTTGTGCTTGCTTCAGAGACATAAGACCAACGGTCAGGTACAGTAGGGTAACTGAGCAGGTGTAAGATGAGGTTCTATTCTTCAATAGGCCAAGAGTCTCTGATACTTAGGACCAAAGAGTTTTGTTTTGTTTTGAAACAAAGAAGTTGCTCTTTTGTAAGACACACCTACATTTATTTTTTTTAAGATTTATTTACTTCTTTAGAGAGAGAAGAATGGAGGGAAAAAAAGAGAGAGAAAAATATCAATGTGCAAGAGATACATCAATTGGTTGCCTTTTGCATGCCCACAACTGAAGACCTGACCTGCAACCCAGGAATGTGCCCTGACTGGGCATTGAACCAGTAACCTTTTGGTTTGCAGGCTCAACCCACTGAGCTACACCAGCCAAGGAAGGACCAAGGAGTCTTAAGGAGAGAAAAAAAAGAAGAAGAAAAAGTCAGAATCTAGACAGTTGAGTAGAGAATGGGTTTACAAGGCTAGAGGTTCTATTTCTTATGCTTTCTGATTTCTATATTACCAAGAGACCCATTTTCTAGGCTTCACTACCAAATTTTCACCCAGATATAGTTCACTTCTTTTATTTTTTTAATCCTCATCTAAGAATATTAAGTTTTTGTTTGTTTGTTTTAAAGAGAAGAAGAAAGAGAGAGAAAGACATCAACTGAGACAGAAACATCAATCAGTTGCCTCTCATTTATGCCCAGACCAGGGTTTGAACCCACAACCCACGTGTGTGCCCTGACCAGAAATCAGACCCTCAAACTTCTGTTATATTGGACAATACTCCAACCAACTGAGCAATCAGCAAGGGCAGAAAAAAACAGCAATACCTTGGGACTGAGATAGTAACATTTCCTTCACCCTTACTTACAAGTGAGAAGTGGGAAACCCTTGACATTAATGCTAAGGTAAAAATGTATTGCTGGTAACCCAACCTAATTCTGCAAACAACTTTCTAAAGGAAAATCTGGGCTGGTATAGGCTGTACAGAACTGTCGGACATCCTTCAAATATATTATGAATCAAATAGGATTTTATTTATTAGCTTGGGAACAACACTACATACAACACTGTTAAAGAAATTTGCCTTCAGTTTCAAACACCTTATTTTTAAATGAATTTTTAAAATAGAACTTCTATAAATCATAAACTGATCATTACCTAACCACATCATTGAAAAAAGACCTGCTGTTCATTACATTCATTCAACAAACATTTATTGAACAGTTATTACTCATATGTGCACATTAGAACAAGTATTTCCTGCCTTAAAGATTATTGCTCAAAATCCAGCTTTTCTGTAATTTTTAGGATAAAATACACACATATACATGTTATAGACCACTCTGCCTGATTTTAGGAATTGTATCTCTACCCCTTGTGGCTAAGGGCGAGAGACGACCTTTGGAATGCCAGCCACAGGAGACAAAGCCTGTCTCTGGTAGCAAACACTGCCTCAGTTCCTCTCCCTGCCCCCAAAGCTTGGTTGGGAATCAATGATGGGTAAGACCCCTCACAGCGGGGGGCAACTAAGCCAGACTTGATCACTTGGGAGGCCTTCATGGAAGGACTGGGGGGAAGGGAGGGCCTGCAACAGGGAGCAATGGACTCTCACTTCCCCACCCCACTTTGACAAAGCTCAAGTCCCCAGGTTCTCTGGGAGAAGTGCTTCCTGGCTCTAATCCCCTTAAGCCTGAATACCTGTTGGGGAGAGGTGCAGCTCCTTGCCTTGCTAGAGTGTGTCCTGGGGAAAATCTGGCATCACAAAGATTTCCTGATAAACCTGTGAAATCTGCTCTACTAAGAGTGTTTTCATTCATATAAGGGTTCGAGCAGGAAACCCTAAAACTCTGTTCCTGGCAGACTCTGACTCAGACTAAGCCCTCAGATTTCTTTGAAATGTTATCTACTGTTTGCTCCTTGCCACCCTGTATTCCTGTGTATTACAACCCAATAAAAGACCCTGGAAGAAGGGGCTCGAGGCCTTTTTCTCCTCGGAGAAACTGGCTGCTGCTGGCCTTTTCCCCCTGTGAAACTGGCCACTGCTCACTTCTCCTCCCCAAGCAGATCACATCATGTCTCGGTCATGATTACTCTTCATCCATGGCATTTGGGGGGGACTTTCGAGGAAGTTGCCCCCACATATACATACCATAAATACTGGTCCTTTGGTGATCTCGTCAATAGTATAACATCAGCTAATATTAACTCTACTAGCCTTAATCTCTGGCTTCTCTTTCAGTACCATATGTCCAACCTACCTATGCCTAGTTAGCTATGCTGTTCTCATTTAATATGCAATGTCAAATTATTTAATAAATATGAGTCTAGAATAAACGTCAGCAAACTATGGCCGGCAGGGCAAATCTAGTCCACTACATGTTTTCACAAAGTTTTCTTGGAATATAGCTATAATTATTCAGGTACATATTGACAACGACTGCTTTTATGCTAATTACAGCAGAGTTGAATAGTTGCGATGTGCAAATATATCTAAATATCTAAAATATTTATTATCTCTATCTTACAGAAAGAGTTTGCCAAACTCTGGTATAGAATGTATTGATGCTGTATTTGGAACCAGAAAATACTAAAGGAACCCCATAACCTTGAGGAGCTTAACCCAATAGAGGAAGAAAGCCACCTAAACAAATATAACAGAATCAGCTCTATGGCACCAGACTCAGTGGGAACAGAAAGAAAACAATGCTCAGGGGAGGAAGTGACACCTAGCTGGAGCCCCACAGCTGTAAGGGTGCAAGAAAAGAGGCATGCCAGGAAGTAAAGCAATGTGAACAAAGAAATGAAGTGCTAAATAAATAGCCTGGTACATCTGAAAAACTTTCAGAGTTTGGTACTAAGGTATCTAAAACAGCAAAGTAAAAAAAAAAGGTTCCAAAAATGAGCAAACACCAGATCACAGAAGGAACCATATCATGCTAAGAAATTTGGATTTCACTCTTTAGGTATAAGAAACTTTTAAAATGTCCTTAAAGAAGGCAGGGTTTCATAAATTTGTTTTCAATGTTCGATCTGTCTCCAGCATATCAGATAATTCAGATGCAGACAAGAAGGGGGCCAGGAAAGTCATGTAGGAGATTCATGATAGTTGGTTGAAAGATTATACCTAAATTAAGGTACTGCCCTGACCAGTGTGGCTCAGTGGGTTGGGCGTCCCACAAAGGGAAAGGCTGCAGTTTTGATGCCCAGTCAGGGTACATGCCTGGGTTGCGGATTCAGTCCCCAGATGGGCTGCATGAGAGAGGCAGACAATGAATGTTTCTCTCATTAATATTTCTCTCCCTCCCTCTCCCCCCCTTCCTCTCTCTCTAAAAACAAATAAAACCAAAAAATTTTTAATTAATTATTTAAGGCATTGGTAGTATGAATTCAAAAAGGATGCTTATAAAACATAGGAAAACAGAAATAACCACACATGTTCTCTAGTTAAGAAACACAGAGTATATGAAAAAAATGTCAAAAGTAACTCCCAGTTTTCTGGTTGAAGAGAGAATGATGTCATTCACCAAAAGAAGGAAAATGGAAGAAAGGGCAGGCAGACGGGAAAATAATGAATTTAGTTTTAGATGAGCTAAATTATGAAGTTACCTGGGAGAAATTCATGATATCCCACTAGACATTTCAATACATAGGTCTCCACCCAGCAGATCTATCTGGGATACAAATACATACTTTGTATGGGAACAGAAGAGAGTATTCTGCCAGTTTGTAAAAATGAAAACTACACCAGACACAAATGAAAATTCTAGGGCTGAGTACAAAAAAAAAGAAGAGGCAAAGGAGAATAACATAGAGGGGGTGGAGAACAACTGACCAAATCACAAGGAAAAGTCAAATCACAAGGAAAACAAAATTTTAGGAATTGAGTTATCAATAAAAGCAAACACTTCAGAGAAGTCTAATAAAGAAAGGATTGAAACAAGTGCACAGATGCAGCAATGGACTCAAAATGAGCATCATCCAAAACCCCAAATCTATTTCCTGTCCCCTAATTCTATCAGTGGAAACACCATCATTCCATTCTTCAGGATAGAATCACTACACTCACCCTTAAATCCTTCCAATTCCTAACTCACTCAATCTTTTAGCAAGTCCAATTACTTCATTCTTGGACATGCAAGCCATAATTTCTCGTTTTTAATTATTCACTACCCCTTCCAAGTCAAGATCCTATCACCTCTCAACTGTATAACCATAACAACTTCTCACATAATTTCCCAGCCTCCAGTCCTTACTTTATCCCAATTTATCCTGCATACTAGCTGTGCGATCTCACAAATGGCATTTAACATCCATCTATAAGCTTCAATTTTCTCATGTGTAAAATGAAGATAATAAAAGTATTTGCTTTGATGGGTTATTTTAAGAATTTAATGAGAAGTATTTTTTAATTAATGTACTTAAATAATAGTTCCAATATGCTGTCAATTAATGCTTAAAGTAATACAAATATAGGATAGTAATTGATAAACTATCAATACAGTACCACTATCCATAGCCCCTAACAGTGTCTAGTATTCATTAGGTCCTTGATAAATGTTTAAGAAAGGAAGAGAGGGGAGGAGGGAAAGTGAAAGAAATACATGTGATTAATTCACTTATATTACTTTTGGATTATATCAATACCTTGTTTAAGAAATCTATGACTCTGTTACCAACTACATCAGATTCTGTTATCTTATCTTATCTGGCTTTTAAGGCCTTCCATAGCCATGTTCCCATACTCAATAAGTGAAACCTTCACTACAGTCAGATAGATCTCTTCTCTGTTTCCCCAAAAGACCATTCTTACTCCCACTTCCCTGACTTTACTCACCCTGTGTGCTCCACAAGGAATACTTTCTCCTCTTCCCATCTAAATCTTCATTGTTCAGTGCCAGTTAGGAAACTACTTTTCAATAGTACACGTACAAGGTAACTAAGGTCTCATCAATAGATATGGTAGTAGGAAGGTCTAATCTAAGAGATGTTGAGGAAGGAACCATAAGATGCGGTGAATGACAATATGGGGAATTAAAGTGGAGAAAAATAAATACAAAGTTAAAAAAGCAACAGTGTCGAAATAAATGTTGACTAAAAAAAAAAATGTAGAACTATCAATGATAAAGAGATACCAGGAAAGCTTTCTCTTTCCAGTATCTCTAAAAGCAGGAAAAGGAGCATTCAGGGAACAAAGGATAAGGATAATGGTGCATGTGGTTTTCACTGATGGTTGTGGAGGCAATACCAACATGGATTTATGATCTGACAGAAGGAAGGTAATTTTGTACTCTAAGAAGGAAAAGATAAAAGAAAGGTAGCCAAAGAGTCAGAAAAAGTAAGAGTACAGACAGAAAATCAAAAGAGGTATTCCTATTAAGGAGACAGAGATGGTCAGCAACACTTTAAAAGAAGCTAAGGTAGCAAGATAATAAATGGTAAAAGGGTCAGCAAAGGTTCAACATATGAGAACTAAGGGAAAATGAAGTTCATTTAACTAACAGGTCATCACTGAATTATGAGCATCAGACTCAACTGACTGGTCAAGATGACAACCAGATGATAACTCTTTTTTTCAATTTTTACTAGTATGAAAATGAAAGCGCTAGCGTTGAACCATTCCAATTATGCCTTATGCCTTTTACAACAACTACACTGAAGCATGGTTGCATACAAAGACATTTTTAAAAAACCAGGTAGAGGAATATTTTTACAAAAACATGCTCACCTCATGGTGTATTCGCTGATAAACTTTTTGTTCATTGTCTAATACTACAAAAGATTCAGAGGGTGCTGCATCCCCATTAAAAATGAAGCTTAAATCCCCTCGTTGGCACTTCATGTCAGTAAAGTCTATGAGAGTAGTGTCAAGCCTGTGAAAGATGGTTAGATGAGAAATTCTGACAAATAAATTTCAATAAAACTACATGACAGTTAAACAAGTTTTGTTCCTTCTAAAATCAAACCAAGATGCTAATACACTATTTCCACGTCAAATTTAGAGATAAAAGCTAAATTTAAAATATCTTATTTTTAAGAAAAAACGCCAAAAGAATATTTAAATATATTCCATTTTATCTATATTTCATTTTTCTGAATACATAGTTCATTAACCCATCAAGAAGACTGTTTCCCCAGTGTTGAAGTATTTCCCTAAAGGTACCCTTGTTCCTTACCATTTCCACAAAAGTTACAACTGGAAAGGGGAGAAAAAGACCTAATATTCTTTGGTCCCTTTAAGACCATGTTACTGGTTCAGCAGGGCATGTAAAAGAGGTAAAGCAATGGATGTACCACATTCTTGGACTAAGGAATGTGTGTCCAGTCTTCTACACCTATGCCTTATACCTAACCATCAGCTATGAAAACCTGCTTCATCCTTCCACTTGATAACCCATTTAACTTCAAATTCTTGACTTCCCAGATTCAATTAGCATCCTCTTTTCCAACACCTCCACAGCCTGAAAATGTTATGGGCCATTCCTGTGTCAAAACCTCATAGATTCACACTCCTGTGTGTACTGTGCTCTTTGGTAACCAAAACCTGGCATGGTCTACCCCAATGAGTTAGTCCCAAATAAATTCCACACATCAGTAGTTATTGAAATTAGGGAGAATACTGGAATGGAAAAGTTCCCGAGTTCCCTGAAGTCCTTCAATCTGTGGTGGCTTTGTAGAAGATCACATCAGGACCCCTCTCACTAGCTGCTCAAAACATGGTCCTTAGTCTAAGAAATGGGTTGACACATGTATTACAAGATTCTGATCATATCCAAGTAAACACATTTAAGTCTTTGTGAGAGATCCACCCTGGCTACTGAGTTTCTAATTCAATTATAAGAATTTTTTACTTTGTAGATTTATTAGTTTTCACCTAGGTAAAGAGGCAAAGTGAATGGGCATTCTTGATTTCCGCTGAAAAAGCTGAGAAATAGAACATAATTTCACATGCTGCATCAAAAGAAACACTAGAATTATATCAGTAAAACCATAAATTTTGAAAGTGAAAGTGATATTATTAATAATTTTACCAGGACAACAGGGATGAACCAGAGCAAATAGGGAAATTTGATAACCCTATGTGTAACAGGCTCTTTTCTCAGCCATATTATATGTGTATATATATCCCTCAGAATGAAATCAGAAAGCACTGAAAAAATCAAGTCACCAACTCTGGCAGGGGTGAACCCTGTTTGCTGCTTTGTGGCTGTATTCCAGCTCCTGGTCTGCTTCTGGTGGTCTGCTTTGTACTCCTAGTGCCTTCACTACTAAACTGTCCTGTCATTGCTTATACATGGGTCATGAGAGAGAATAATGCCAGTGAAAGGGGCTTACGCTCAACCTTCATAAGGCATGGACTACTGGCAGTATCAAAAAAACCCATCATTTTATGTATATGCCCTATTTGGACTCCAAACTTCAACTACCAGGGAAATATACACCCCACATTAAAAAAAATAAACAAAAATAAATGTTTTAAAAGGGGCCAGAAGAGTCTTCTGCCTCCATTCCATTCTTGCCCACCCTGGATGAGGGTGGTAGTGAACTGTAAGGGTCAAGGGTGGAAACGGTGAGAAAAGGGGCAACGGCAGACTGACGTTTAAGCTACTGTACGTAGTCATACCTAAGATCGATCCAGTCCATTTTTGTTTCATCTGTGTTTCTGTAACTTGAATTGAAATTAGAGTATCTAATACATAATCTTCAATATCCCTGACATATTAGATTGCCTGTTACATATCACACATGGTTCACAATGATAAAATTTCTCAGGATGGTATTTTAATGACTTAACTTGTCCTTGGCTTTAAGCCTAGGAACCTAAATATTTTTAATTTTTGCCAAGTAACAGCTATAAAAAAATTATTTCTACAAATGAAAAGACTGAAATACAAAATATTTCCTGAGATAAAAACATAAAAACTTGGAAAATGTGAAATAACACTGCACAAGGAAATACAGCCTTCTCTTGAAACAGGAAAAGCCTGGAAAGGCAAAGTCTGCAATCACCATTTCAGTCAGTGGGTACAGATCACCTAAAATTATTAATATTAATAGTAAAAATGTTTATTTAGTATTCCCAACAATACGGCTGCTCACACTTTCCTATTTTTACTAAAGTATTACTCTCTTCTTGACACCAGAGAAGGTATATTACATGAGCAGATGGCCACCATGAGATCTAGTAAACTGAAAAAATTCCTTTGAACACAGTTTAAAATTCAGATTTGAAGTGATGTTAAAAAAAAAACCATCCCATGACACTTAAATTTGAAAGTTTTTATTCAACGCTAACAGATTTCATTAAGTCAGCTCTTGTCACTTATGCAAAAAACCTTTACCAAACATCCTAAAATCCAGCCTCTCCATGAGCGTGGTATACTTTGGTAGTGAGAGCTTTAGCATCAGCTGCTAGTAAGCCCTAGGTGTGAGTGACTTGTTACATTACAGTAGCTTCCGCTCAGGCTCTTATTAACCATTTGTCGTTTTGTTTATTATCTATCCTTATTATGTAGTATTCATCATAAAATTTACTTCCAAAAGTCAAATATGAATGTGAAAGAATTTTTTAAAGAAAGTTGTACCTTTTTTCCTATTTCTAAAAATAAAACAAAACTAAAACTAACCTTTTAAAGTAGCACACGAAAGAAAATATTATTCTTCCAAATTATCTACTACCTTTGGCCAGCGCCTATATTAAACATTTTTAAATTGACAAATAATTTTTTGATAAATCTATAATATACTGCTAACAACTGGCTGCTGAATTAAATCTACATCAGTATCAAATCCTTTCCCAGTTTCTCTTCTACGTTTTTCTGTATTTTCCCAGGCTTCTATAATTACCATAAATTAAATGTCCACAAGGACTTTCATAATTAGAAACATCTGAGGTTATTTTTAAAGCCCAAAACCACAGAAACATCTTATTTAGCCAAATTCTACTGCTTGAGAATAATTACCTGAGAACTTGTTTCAAACTAAAGGTTATCTCTTCACTAGAAATCAACATATTACATAATAAATTTTATAAAAAATTGATTTTAAAAAATTTCTGCCTGTGACATGGTGAGAAAGGACAAGAAGTCAGATCCTGGCTCAGCTATTAATTGGCAATACGGTCTTTTAAAAATCACTTCAGTTCTCTGAACTTTCTCATCTATAAAACAGTTTACATGAAATAATATTTCACAACATTTCCAGTTCTAGACCCTCATATGTTCAAATTGATATTCTGAAAATATATAAACACATAGATATATATGTTATATATATAACTTGTAGATATACCAATAGACATATACATGTACATATAAGTTAGCACATTCACTAGCATTATATATAGCTTCCATATACTTAATTTGTAAATATATCTATATTAACATAAGGCTAAAGATATAGGGAATGATATAAGTAAAATGCTAAAATGAATAAAATAAATAGATTTCCCATAAGATCTAACTAACCATCAATCTTATTTTAAAAGGAAACAGAAGAAAATTAAAATTAGCCTTAAAGAGTTAACTAGAATAGATATAAATGCTTAAATAGATGAATGAAAATTCTCATGGATGGGTTGACAGGAAGAGAAGGGTATGTATGAGAGGGATGGAGAAAAAAGGACAAGAGTTAAGGTGTTCCTATGTGTCCCTTATTCCTTAAAAAGCCAGGATCATAGAGATGACCATCTTAAATCTTTTTAGTATTACATCATGATCTCCACTGTTTGCCTTCTAGATACTCTGTAGTTGAATAAGAACAATACCTTTGTTTCAGTCAAGATTTTATGCCTTTAGTTATCTGTAGTATGTCTCAAATGAGATAAAATATTATGAATGTATTTATAGCATGTTTAAGTTATAAAATGCTACATCCAAATGTAAGCTATTACTACAGAAAAGCTTCCTCTAAATCTCAATTTTTCTGTTACTCAGAAAAAAAATTAAGTCACCTTACCTGATATTGATACCTTGTTTGTATATTTTACAAGCATCAGAAGGCAGAATTCGGGAAAGTAAAGGCACTGTGTTTTTAAAAAATAAAAGATAAAATTAACCATCTAAAGTTCTGAAACATTACAAATTTTTTCATTAGAAGAGTAATGCAAACATTTTAGAAACTTACCAAAATTATAATAATTTTCTTTAAAATAGTATTTTACCACTTAATATATAAAGCAAGTTTGAGCAACTTCAAGTATCTATCATTTAATTGTGTTTGCTACATAGTTCACCACATTCCCCACCACCTTCCTTGCCCACCCACCCACACAGTTAGCAGAGTTGATATAATGCTACTTGTGGGTACCGAATTTTGCCATCTATAATACACTCCTGTATATAATGTGCACTCACAATTTTGGTCTAAACTTTCAGGAAAAAAATCTCCAGTTCTAACTCTTAATTCGTTTTATTTATATTTAGATACTTATTTTTTGTATTAAAGAGGAATTTTAGCATTTAGTTTGGAACATATTATGGTACAAGAAATTTTATGTAACAATTAATTACAAAACACAAGTACAGGTACAAGGTATTTCAGGTACTACCCATGTATAATGCACATTCTCATTTTTCCCTCAAAAATTTGGGCAAAAACATATGCATTATACACGGCAAAATATGGCACATATTCCAGGATATTATAGATGAGAAAAACAATGCCCTATGCTAACTAACCCCACCTGAAGGGTAACTAGATGTACCTGAATCCTAGCTGATCCTTTAAACATAATGCGATTAATAGAAAGTGTACAAGAGAAAGAGACATTTTTAAAGCTAAATAACTGAATTTGAGTTTGAATCTTAAATATTACTTAAGCATTCTGTACCTCAGTTTCAAAATTTATACAATGGAATCATACTCTTTACCTATAGATGTCTACATTCCAGTGTTGCTCACATTCCTATCACAGCTATCTTTTGATAGCCTTTTATTACTTATTATCTACTATGTTGAGGGAGACAGGTAAGAGTCATTCTATGGATGATTGTTTTTTTGTGTGAAAATTGAACAATTAAGCTGTCTATATTTTAAGTTATCTCTATATAATCTGAGAGTCTGACACTGTATTTCAAAGGTAGCATAAATCACTGAGCTGAAAAATAGTCTCTAAATTTAAATTTTGGTTTTGCTATCACTTACTCCCTGATTTTAATTAATATTTGTAAAACTAATGTTTTCTATCCACACTATGTAAATAACAATTCCAAATATATACGGTGGTATGGGTATTCTACAGATTAAAAGATAAATTTTTTAAACTATCAGTTTTTCTGTTGAAAAGTGTTGTATGCGTAATTCTAAATTTGAAGTAATTATTATGATACTATAATTACTTAACATTTTACAATATATATAGGGCTTCCTTCAAAAACATGATTGCATTTCATACTCACCAAAACAAAAATATACAACAGATGAGGCAATCATTCTCCCTCCTTTAACCAAGTCCAAGGCTATTTTCAGCCAAACACTGAATATAACACAAGATGAGGAGGAGAGTGTGTGTACTCCACTACCTCTAAATTAAACTTATCCCTGGGGTCTCAGTATTTCTTAGATTCCCTTACTTCTGGGTGGCCCTTTTTTTTTTTACTGGTTTTGACAATAAGAAGAAACATGCCTAAACTCTAGAATAAAGCTTGATAATCAAATCCAATAATAGAAATTATCCAGTTTTTTAATCTAAAGTGTCTAAACTAAATCTAGCCGCCAGGTGCTAGTTTTGACATGAAATCAGAAAAATCTTTATCAGCAATTAAACAAATATGCTGACTTTTTTGTGTCAAAGTCAAGTTCTCAAAGAATCAATACTTTCAGTAAGTACCTCAGTGGCTGCAACATGAATTTGATTATACATTTATAATATGTTTATAACTACAGATATATGTACAATCTCAGAAATGATTGTTCATTTCTAATTCTTCATACAACTGAAATGTTACTTTTAAAATATTTTAAAACATTTCACTCAGCAAGATAAATTGACTCTTTCCGAATTTAAACCACCAATATTTAAGAAAATCAGTTAAAGAACCAATATACTCAAGGAACCACCTTACTTTAAAATCACAAAAGAAGATGGGGGTCTACGCAGAGGATAAAAAATAGGGTGAAAAAAATGCATTCAGGCTTCAGAATCCAAATAAGAATCCAATTTGACTTGAAGCTCTTTTATTAAACAAAGCTACTCCAAATCTCTTTTTTTCTCAGTGGTATGGTACACCAGGATTTCTGAATGACATATAAAGCATAAAGGCAAGACAGGCCTATAAGAATAATAAAATTACGCATAATTTTGATGGAGCCAAAACTAGCCTGACGTGCTAAAGTTGTAACAATTTTGGAGAGAACTAATTTTATTTAAGGATTAAAACTCTGTATTTAGAGATTAAACAAACTTGAAAAACGTTACTCATCCACGTTGCTGTTAAAATAAAGTACTTCCTTATCAACTAATATGTAAGATGCCTGTGATATATTAGTAAAAATGACAAATTGCATAATGACACAGTATGAGTCCAAAAAAAACTAATACTTAGTACATACATATATATATTTATACACACACACATTTGTAAACACTGCAAATGGTTTGAAAGTATTAGCATGAAATGTTAACAGTGGTTTCTACAGTTGTCAATATCTGATTTACTTTTATAATTACTTTATGATTTATTTTTACAATTATTTTAGGCATAAATATTACTGAGCATTCAAATCCTTATATAGTTCTATCATAAAAATTAATTCAGATGCTTAAAAAATGCATGGAAGCTCATTATATCCCAACCTATATATAGATTACATTAAGTAAAATTTTTTGTAACAAAATTTAGTTGTTTTGATAATTGTTTAGCAAGTAAAGGTCACAAGATAAAACTTCTTATTTAGACAATGGGGAAAAAGAAACCTACCAAGGTAAAATCAATGACTGTAAAATAGCTAGAAATTAAAGTCTTTCAGAATAACAGAAACAGGGTGCAACCAAACAGTATATTAAAACAGAGGATATAAGGATACAGTAAAAGTGGCAAAAATGATTCAGTTATTTTTGCAAAATCAAATGTTCACAAAATTTTGCACATTCAGGGAACCAACTATTATATTTCAAACTTCCTTAAATTCATTAATCTAATAATCTCATAATTACACTTCCCTTCCCTCTGAAAATTCCTTATATTAAATTAGTATAATACTTAAACCTGTACTTTATTTCTTAAAAACTGAGACTTTTTAATCTTAAAAATAAGAATTATAAAAGTTACTAATAAGGCTGAGGTCATTAAATACCAGTGCTTTACTACCATTACATTCAATGTGATAAAAAACACTAATTTTCCTTAGGGCAAGTATCAATTTTTTCAATATTTCTATATAGTAGTTATTTTTACACTCATAATTCTGCACATCTACAGATTTTAATAAAACATAGCATACTCTTACCCCAGCTTTGAAAATCCCAGTGAAGTTCTAGATAAAAGTCACCTAGCTGAGAAATGAAATATGAATAATTACTGAATGTACCTCTAGTTAACAGCTGTTATCTCTACTTAACATTTTGCTTTATGAAAAAATTTGTTATCATTAAAGGTCTATAAACAAGAACAGAAAATTTTCAATGTTTAGAGTTAAAGAAAAAGATGTTTATTACTTAAAATAAAATATCAGAATAGCACACATTACAACTTTTATCTACACAGGAAAATATGTACCACTGTGAGTTTTATAACAACATTTTAATTGCATAGAAACATACCTGAAACTGACAGACATTTAAATTTGCATCAGTAAATATGCCATTTCTCAGCCTAACTGAAATATCAATTAGTATTATTGTGAAAGTAGTTAATAACTTTAGAGGGTTATAAAAATGATTTCCAAAATGATTATTTGTGTAGCCTCATAATGGTCTAAAACAAATGACCCAGCCCTGGCTGGTGTAGCTCAGTGAATGGAGCACCAGCCCATGAACCAAAGGGTCACTGACTGAAATTCCCAGTCAGGGGACATGCCTGGGTTGCAGGCCAGGTCTCCAACAAGGGGCACATGAGAGACAACTGCACATTGATGTTTCTCTCCCTCTTTTTTTCCCCTCCCATCCTTTCTCTAAAACAAATAATAAAATGTTTTTTAAAAATACAGAATAGCAGAAAATCAATCTTTCTGTGCAAGCACCCTCAACTCTTACTATCATGAGGTAGAACACAAAAAAGTTTTGTCATCTAAGGAAGCTGCAAACTGCTTCTGCTAGGAGTAGCAGCTTTGGCTCTTAGAGATTTTCTAAACCAAAGAAGAAAGAAATTTTATGGCCATTAGTTATGTCCCACCTCCTTTTTTTATTGTTGTTGTTTTTAGGGCTCTCATCTAATGTATTGCAAGCAGTTCTTCTTTATCTACTTTCCTAGGTCAAAGTAAATGGTGCTTCCCATAAGAGTATAATCAGAGTATTGGTTATGTTATTATTTATTTTAAGCAGGATTTTTTTACCATGCTTTAACCCTTACTAATTAGTGAGAAATTCAACCGTATTTTTAAAAATGCTTTAAAACTACACTTATAATTATTTTGGGGGTGCAAAATCAACAAAGAAATATAGCTTACCTCTTTCAGAGCTTTTAATAATCGAGGTCGTTTTTCTTCAACACTTTCCCTGGATTGCTGCTTAAGCTTCCTTAAAAGAGCTGTAACTAAGATTTAAATTTTAAAATATTAATTTAAAATAGATTTCACACTGCTAGAAAATACCACTGGCTTTTATACAGATATACTGAAAGATGTAGACATTGTGAATATGTTAGCAAGTAAGTTTAATAAAACTGTTATGGTTCCAAAGGAAAATTGAGACAAAATACCTCAACATCAATTTATATTCAATCACTCTATTTTCCTAATTTTTAGTTTTTATTTTCAGTACGAATTTAGGTTATGTACTGACTGAGCCAAGATTTACCGACCTCAATCAGATGCCACAATATCCTGTAGTAATACCAATCTAAAATATCTCAAACACAGCAGATCTCAAAAATCCCACTGAATACCACTTTTCTGAAAACATAATTATCTACAATTGTTACTAGGTATACCTGTTCTTTTTTCACTAGAGGTTGTATTCTCACCTATTACTAATATAAAAAAAATGTATAAAAATAAATCCTATTCTATCTATGAAAATGACTTCTGAATCTAATGAAACCTGAAGACCTCCTTAATGTTTTCTCGACAGTTGAGATTGAGATTTCCACAGAGATTGAGATGTATTAAACATGTTAAACATAAACCCCAGCTTTACTACTTATTAGTTGTGTGTTAACTTGAACAACTTACTATATTTCTCCAAACTTAAGTGTCTTTTTTTTAATTTGTCAAATAAGAACAAAGTCAAATCTACTATGCAGAGCCACTGTCAACCTCAATATAAATTCCTTACTAGTATACCTACAATTAAGTAAATATAATTTTTACCTATTAGAATAAAGATCTAAAATTAACTAGCAAAAATCAGCCAATCCCTAACATTTATTAAAATAAGTGAAAATATTACACTGATGAATCAGTGTAATATTACACTGATTTTACATATTCTGTGTAATATTACACAGAATCTCTAATGAATTAAGACTAGAAAAAATAAGAAAATAGAAAAATATGCAATGAGGTGTAAAAAAATGTATGCTCGTATATCAACACATGCAGATTTCCTCCTTGTTCTGACATATTTTTTCATATACATATATAAAGAAATACCATTTTTTCTCTTTTACAGTATGCATTCTTATAGAGTATTTCAAGCCTATGTAGAATACAGACAGAAGCAGAATGGAAAAAATGAGGAAGAAAGGAAAGCAGGAAGGAATGGAGGAAGGAAGGAAACAAAGGAAAGGAAGGGAAAGAAAGAAAAGGAAGAGGAAGAAGGAAAGAAAGAGAGAAACAAACAAATAGAAAGAAAACAGTAGTGAAAGCTTGGACAAGATTTGTTTTTTCTGCATAGGCCAAATTAGTAAAAGGTCAAAGAAGAATTCTGAAGAACAGTAAAATTTATTCTTACTTTTAACCACAGGTCTAACAATAAATAACTCCAATATAGTTTAAAAAGCCAAAAACCATAGAACAATGCTTAAATTACTGAAGGTCTTTCAGAACAGAAGAGGCAGGGACCTAGAAGTCAGAGAACATGAGGCCTAGTCTCATTTATAAACTAGCTCTGTGAACTAGGTCAGTAGATCCCAAATATAAGTCTACATTTCAGTGCCCAATTGTTCGAGTTTCCAGTGATATGCAGCAAAAACAAAAAAAAACTGAGAACAAGGATGGGTTTTTTTTTCTTTATAAATTACATATTATTTCAATTCAAGAACTATTCTTTCTACTATTTTTGGTTCAAAATGTCTTTTTTTTTAAATAACATCACAGAAGAAAAGTTTTATTTTTAAGTTCTTTTTTAAAAATATATTTTATTGATTATGCCATTACAGTTGTCCTATTCCCCCCCTTCATTCCCCTCCACCCTGCACACCCATCTCCCACCATTCCCCCCTTTAGTTTATATCCATGTGTCAACAAGTTCTTTAGATTCTATATTTCCCATACTATTCTTGCCCTACCCCCTATCTATTTTCTACCTACCGTCTATGCTACTTATCTGTACCTTCTCCCCCCTTTTCCTTCTCCCACTACCCTGTTGCTAACCCTCCACGTGATCTCCATTTCTATGGTTCTGCTCCTGATCTAGCTGTCCTCTTAGTTTGCTTTTGTTTTAGGTGTGGTTCTTAATAACTGTGAGTTTGCTGTCCTTTCACTGTTCATATTTTAATCTTTTTCTTAGGTAAGTCCCTTTAACATTTCATATAATAAGGGCTTGGTGATGATGAACTCCTTCAACTTGACCTTATCTGAAGAAGCACTTTATCTGTCCTTCCATTCATTCTAAATGAAAAGCTTTGCTGGATAAAGCAATCTTGGATGTGGGTCTTTGGGTTTCATGACTTGGAATACCTCTTTCCAGCCCATTCTTGCCTGTAAGGTCTCTTTTGAGAAATCAGCTGACAGTCTGATGGGAACTCCTTTATAGGTGACTATCTCCTTATCTCTTGCTGCTTCTAGGATTCTCTCCTTCATTTTAATCTTGGGTACTGTAATGATGATGTGCCTTGGTGTGTTCCTTCTTGGGTCCAACTTCTTTGGGACTCTCTGAGCTTCCTGGATTTCCTGGAAGTCTATTTCCTTTGCCAGATTGGGGAACTTCTCCTTTTTTTTTTTTTTTTTTAAATTTTATTTATTTATCTTTAGAGAGGAAGGGAAGGAGAGAGGGAGAGAAAGAAACATCAATGTATGGTTGCCTTTCGTGCATCCCCTGCTGGAACTGGCCTGCAGGGAACCGGCCTGCAACCTTGGTATGTGCCCTGACTGGGAATCGAACCGCGATTGTCTGGTTCACAGGCCCGCGCTCAATCCACTGAGCTACACCAGCCAGGGCGGAACTTCTCCTTTATCATTTGTTCAAATAAATTTTCCATTCGTGGCTGTTCCTCTTCCCCTTCTGGTACCCATATAATTTGGATGTTGGAATGTTTAAAGATGTCCTGGAGGTTCCTAAGCCTCTCCTCGTTTTTTTGAATTCTTGTTTCTTCATTCTTTTCTGTTTGGTCATTTTTTTTTTCCTTTTGGTCCACTCTCTCGATTTGAGCCCCAATTTCCTTTCCATTACTATTGGTTTCCTGTGCATTTCCCTTCATTTCACTTAGTTTAGCCTTCATTTGTTCCTCTAATTTGTGACTAAAATTAACCAATCCTGTGAGCGTCCTGATCACCAGTGTTTTGAACTGTGCATCTGATAGGTTGGCTATCTCTTGGTCGCTTAGAGTTATTTGGCTCTGGGGCTTTGAGCTGTTCTTGAGCCATAATGTTTTGGTCTGTTCGCACCGGTTATGTATGAGGGGCGGAGCCTTGTGTTCATCAGGGCAGGGCCACCCAGGTTGTGGGTTTGTCACGCTGTATGTGAGAGCGGGGTCCGAGAGGGGCAATGGTGTTTGTTTTGCTCTCTCTCAGATTTTTGTCCCCTCTGCCGCTTCCTACAAGCAAATTGGGCCCTTCTGGTGCTGGTTCCCAGGTGTGTGGGTTTGTGCACCCTCCAGGACCCTGTAGGTCTCTCCAACAAACCCTCTGTGAGCCTGGGAGCTTCTCCCAGCATCTTGACCCCAAAAGTCTTTCCAATTGGTGCTTTCAGGCTCTAATTCTCATCACTGGGGCCCTGGCCTGAGCGGTCTGTCTCACTTCTTGGTCCTTTCGCTTGGTTTATCTGCGCATGAATGTGTGACTGTGGTCAGCCAGCCGCCTTGTGCCCTCACTGGGTCTGCCCGTTGCCACCCCACGCCTGTGCTCCTGCACTTCTGAGTTCCTGTGTCGGTCCAGTTGATCTTTCCTGCCCAATCCCGCTCCACCGCTCCACTGCTGACTCTGCCCCTCTTACTGGTCTGGATGAACAGTTCGCTGTTGTCAGACTTCTGTGCAGTTCAATTTTCTGTGTTTTGGCTGTGTTTTTCTTACTAAAATTTTGTTGTCTTTAAACTTGGTTTAAACCAACCTTTAAACTTGGTTGTGCAAGAAGGCACAATGTTTCCACCTACGCCTCCATCTTCGCCAGAAGTCTATTTTTAAGTTCTTATATGCTAAAATAAAAAATGTTATTAGCTATTCTGCGTTAATCCTCAAATAATTTTTTTTTCTGGTCTGTGAAATGCAAATAGTCTGAGAATCACTGACCTAGATAATCATTAAAATTCTTTACAGATTCAAATTTATATGAATCTGGTTAACCTTCATGTTTGTTATAATTTAACTCTAATATCAGGGATCTATTACCCAAATACAGTAGCTTTTCTTCCTCACTATAAGCTCAAATACTTCAATAAATATTTATTCAATCTCTCTTGCCTTTGTGTTGAAATGGACCTCTGCCTGAATGCAAAAAATGAAAAGAATTCAATCCTTAGACTGAATGTATAAATGAAAAAAATTCAATCCCTAGATTGAAACAGTATCTTAATGTACAGCAGGAGCCATAACTTTTTATCAACTAAATCTATTGTTTTGTAACTGACTGAAGGCACTTTGTAAATAACACAAAATGACATAAAAATTATCAAGCATTATTAAAAAGGTAGCAAGAACAACAATATATGGCACAGTAATATATGCAAAAGAGATTCTTATTCTTTGAGACTTGACATTTAAAAAATTATTTCAACTCAAACTTTCTTATGGAAGCAGAAATAAACATTCAGAATGAATTATTCAAAATCACCAGTATGTTTTTGTGGTCTCACTATTTGTATTTCCATATTGTGAGAATCCTAACATTGATAATGAAGATAAAATTAGCTTTAGGGAATTTGGATGGTATTAAATAGAATTCATACAAAAACTCAAATGAAAAACTCCACTAAACCACAATTAATTTAACATTTTCTTTCCTTCTCCCATATAAAGTATTTTTAAAGTTTTCAGTTTATTATTCCTAAAGCTTCTGAAACTACTCCCTACTGCTCCAAGCATTACTTAAACCTGTGTCTTCCATCCTCCACTTCCTTCTATACTCCAGTCTAATTATTTCCCACTTCTTACTTGGACAGTTTTTTCTAGATGTATCACATATCACTCAAACTCACCAAGCTTAACATCTAATTAATTCAATCCCAGAATGTTATTCCTGCTATATTCCATACATCAATTAATGAGATCACCACTAATCCATATTTAAGATCTTGGAATTTAATCTTTCTAGTACTACCAGGACTTAAACTAAGAAAAAGAACTGGCAATGGGTGATTATTTTTCTAATCTTTCTCTTCTCTCAATATAGTATCTCTTCTTTAAATCAAGATTACCACACTTGATCTAAAGATTTTTTTTCCTAAAAACCTATTGCCTCCTGCACAATGAAAAAGTCTTGAGGTTTTTTAGGGAGGGGGTGGAGGGATTGAGAAAAAAGGAAAAAGGAATCATGGATATGGACAACACTGTGGTGACTGCAAGGGGGAGGAGGGTATAAGGGGGCTTAAATGTAATGAGAAAATATTTTTTAAATAAAATAAAAATATTTTTCTTCTTTTAATGCTCACTGGAAAAAAAAAGTCTTGGGTTTTATCCAATAATCTCAATCACTGCTTTGAAGTCTTCTGGAATTTTGCAGTGACTAGAGATGGAGATCAAAACCTTGAATACCATATAAAGGAGATCTCAGTGTATCCGCTTTATCACTACAATTTCATCTCCCAAAACTACTCTTCATCCCTTGACCCATGTTTGCCTTGTAGTTTAGCAAGCCACACTGAAGTACAGTTCTCTAAAATAAGTTTTGTTATTTTTCACATTTCCAGGCTTTCTATATATTCTGCTCCTGTGGGCTAGATAGAAAGTCTTTACCCACATTATTAAATCCTATAATCTGTTGAGAGTCCACTCAACCCACACCTTGCAAAAAACCAGAATTACTTTCTCCCTCCACTGTTTCGCCCTATCACTTTATATATGGTTTGGAATGCTACCGAATATTTATTGTTCTCTCTCCCCAAACTACAATGAGTTCCTCAGTGTCAAAGCTAATGGTGCATCCCACTATGTTTCAGATATATCTGGTAGATACTTGGAAAACACAACTCTGTTCTAATGAAGCTTACTTCATTAGAAGTAATGGGGGTGATGGTAGAGTTCTGAAATACTGTATGAGCAGAGAAGGCTCCCTTCTACTGGAGTTGAGATGTGAAAAATTCTAAGTTGGGGTAGAAGGCAAAGGATGTGTGACTATGACAAACTCAAAGGCTAGCAATGCTGACACAGGGAAAGCCATGCAGAAAGAACAAGATAAAGAAGATGAAAAAGCGACATTATCATTCTGGATCTTATAAACGAAGTTAGAGATTTTGATCTTCATTCTAAGTAGAGAAATGTTTAAAGGGTTATTTTATTTTATTTAATATCAAAGAGTAATATGACCAGAAAAAGAAACTAAAGAATACTTATAATAAAATATTAATAGTGGTTATCTCTGGGTAAAATTCTTTCTCTATAATTTTGTAATTTTCTATAATTAATATCATTACTTTCTTATAAGAAAAAATAAAGTTTTCAACAACTCAGAAGAGTTATGGTAAACAAAAATCCTAATTAATTTACAAAAATATTTTCATTCCTGTTAAATAGTGTCAAATTTTGTTTGCTGTTCTTGTTCATTTCCTCATTAATTCACTAAACAAATATATGTGCCAGATTCTGTCTGGAATCCAGATATAAAAGGATGAATAGCCTCTATAGGACTTGAGTGTTTACAAAGCTTGTATCATCAGGATGCAGAGTAGGGAACACACATTGTTAAATAACTAATTAGAAGTCTGCTGAGGACTGCAAAGGAAAAGCATGACCCGTTTCAAAATATATGAAAAGGAGAGGTTAATCCACTCCAGAAGTTGAGGAAAGACTTCTTCCAGGAAGAAATACAAAGTTGAAACCCAAATCAAAAACAGTGCCAGTTCTGGACAAGACTGCAAGCCAATATGCACTGCTGTCTCTTGGCCTCTAAACTAACCTTTCATGTACTACAAAAATAAGACAGAGGCTAAGCCTTGCCTGGTGTAGATCAGTGGATTGAGCACGGGCCTGCGAACCAAACAACTGTGGTTCGATTCCCAGCCAGGGCACATGCTTGGGTTACAAGCCAGTTCCCAGCAGGGGACGCATGAGAGGCAACCATACATTGATATTTCTCTCCCTCTCTCCTTCCCTTCCCCTCTAAGGATAAATAAATAAAATCTTTAAAAAAAAATTTAAAAAAAAAAGACAGAGGCTGATATAATTCCTAAAACTACCATAATATACATATCATAATGTAATTCTGTACAAACTATGCAACTCCTGGAAAGACACCTAGGTCTCAGTGCAGATAAGAAACCAGCAGTCCAGGTCAGAGGAAAGCTGAAGAGAGCCGTAAGTTATAAAGAGACTTTTATATTGTATCTCTATCTCTCCCTGATAATGGCCTGGGCTGATTGGTGTTCATCAGGTAAACGTTATAAGGCAGAAAAGCAACATAATCTTGAAATGTTATTAATTTTAAAAGAAATAATTTTAAACATTCTCTGACAAGAAATTTAGCATTAGCTCATTATTCTGTAGCATAAAACTATTAGCAGATATCAGACCAAAAAGACAAACAGGTCACAGAATTTTCACTAATAATTTATATACTATGCCCACAAAATTTTTATGTAACATAAGCTAAATAATCAAAAGCTTAAATCATAGTAATTTAAAAAATTTCAAAGTACAGACATGTTTAACACCAGTATAAATACATCCACATTAGTATTTCTAAATATTTATCATAAGGATTATTGAATTAATAGTCCTTTAAGTTAGTAATATTTCCCTTTCATGTGATGATACTAGAAATATAAGCCTAAATAATTATGGACACACAATTATATAAATGATTGGCAATGGAATACTATTTAAAATGCGTATCTAAGATATCACTCTATAGAAATCACTTTAAAAACAGGCCTTAACTATTATACTACATGCCTCAATTTTCACATTAGAATTTTTATTAAATATCCAGTAACTGATTTTCCTAGAAAACTCCTGCTTACTGGCCTTCCCACAGATTATGAATTACTCAAGAGTAGAAACATGTCTTCATTCTCTCATCTTATTATATGCACATGCTTTACAGTAAGGACAAAGTAAATATTCACTAATGCTGAGAATTTCCCTGAAAGTCACAAAAGTCTCATCTCAAGGTGGGTCAGATATCCAGGAACCCATCTGGTTTCCTCTCCACTCTGCTGTTTACACATATTAAAGCAAGTCTCTTCAGACCAACTGCTGCAACTCTGAACTCACTCTCAGTTTCTCAGAGCTGTATATATTTTATCATTTCCCTGAAATAATTCCAGAGTTAGTATAGTTTCTTGCTCTCATAGGGTCTCTTAATGTTTGTCCAGAAACACAACTCTCAATGAACAACAATATACATACACTCCTTTAGTTGTTAAAATATCCCAATTTTTTTCTCACATTAAATCTTAAGCCCAAACAAATTTAACTTCACCATTAAAAGTTGCCCAAAGTGTTCAGAAACTCCACAAAGATGTAATATGTGGATTACACATAAAGCTAAAACATAAGAAAAAGCCCATAAGAGCCCAAAACTTAGCATCAAAAATAAAATTAAATCCATGTAACATCCCAGGAATGTCTAATGTTATGCTTTTCTTTATTAAAACTACCAAAAATTTTTATAGTTCCTTCTACAAAGCTAAAGTAGTCGTTTTCTGCCTCAAATTATGAAAAGACAGTATTACCAGAAAGATAATATTCTCATTCATCCAGATTCAAATTTTACAAAATTTTCAATTATTGAGAAGTGTTTGACCTGTGTTTTCCCCCTAACTTCATATAAGACCTGTATATGAAGTCAGGGGAAAAAAAAATAGGCACTGGAGGAAAGAAAGTGGAATAATTGAGCACTCTATATATTGTGAAAAATGTCATGTAACATTTTTTGGAAATTCTCTCAAGACTAAAATGAAGGCTGACTTGTTCCTCACTTTCAGTAATTAAAGCAGATAGACAATTGTTATTAAAACACTAATTATTTTCAGTTCAAATTACTCTTCCAAAAAAATTAAGCAGTTGCCAGAAAGAACCGTCAGGTCTCAATGTGTTTTTATTTAAAAAGTCCTTCATTCTAAATGAATTTTTACAAAATTGAAGAGTACCAGTAGGGCTGAATCCTATAAAAAGAGAGAAAATAATAAACGTACTTTTAAATATAATTCCTCAATTATTTTTGTGTATTACCCAGTGATCGAGTTACTAATAATGCATACATAAGTTTATAAATAACTGAAAACTTTGCATACTGCGAGAAGTTACAGTAAATGAAAAGTATTCCAAATGCATGACTCTGTATGCTTAGACTAGCGAGCAACGGTATTTATTTTGCTTACTCATCTGTCTATCTCCATAGCTGATGGCTTCTGCCAGCGGGCTCCATCCCTGAGCATTTTTCACCTTGACCGGAGCATTGTGAGCCAAAAGTAAATGAGCACATTCTGAAACACAAAGGGGTAGTAATATCAAACATCATGCAATTTTTAGAATCTCAATATGAAGGTTACATAAAAATTCAAGAAACCAAATATAAATGACCTATAAAATAATACTGTACTATGGAGAACTAAGTAACTTTTAAAATTCCTAGATATGTAAAACCAGGTTATTTCATATCCTATGATTCAAGAATATCCATTCTAAAAATAAATTGGATCTCTCTTCAAAGAAAGGATTATATCCCCTAATAATTGTTCTCAAGAGTCTTTTTAAGAATGTTTTCTACTCTAAAAGATAACCCAAAAACCTCAAGAGTAATTTACATAAACAAAAGAAACTTGATTGTGTGTAATGTCAAATGAAAATTTCATGTATCTCAGAAAAATGTGTTTTCAAACAGAATATTTCTATAAACCTTTATTCAAAAAAATTTACAATTCTTTTAGTTTAGAAAAAAAGGGCAATAATCTGTTTATGATTACAAGGATAAACCTAGACAGTGTTTCTAGTAATCAAAAGAAGTCTAAGATATAAACCCTTCTATAGGTTGAGAAAACTTCTGTAAAAATTAAAAATGAGAAGTATATTAACAGGCAAAAACATTCAAAACTGAGACTAAGGGAAATTTAGGATGGTTATAAAACCTAAATGTCCTAAATGAATGACTTATTTATTCAATTGGCCATTCAGCAAATATTTAACAAGTACCTATTAAACGCTATTTCTAAGTACCAGGTCCCGGTTATAAGCAATAGAAAGAGAAGGTCTTGCTACCAAAGAGCTTCTATCCTATGTTAGAAGCCAGTAAGTAAACTAGTAAATTTAAAAAAAAAAAATCAGGTAAGTTCTCTGAAGCAAATAAGGATGCTAGACATTGTAATGAGGGGGAACTGGTAGGGAGAACAGCAGTGTAATTAGTAATAAAAGGAATTCCTATAATGGCAGAAAATTTTATTAGAATAAAGTAAAAAACAGAAATTTCACATGGATGTTTGGAAAGTCTACTAGTATTATATAAAATGTATGTACAAGAATTTGTTTTTTGTAAGATTTTATTTATTTTTGGAGAGAGGGGAAGGAAAGGAGAAAGAGAGGGTGAGAAACATTAATGTGTGGTTGCTTCTCACACACCCTGTCTGTACTGGGGACCTGGCCTGCAACCTAGGCATGTGCCCTGATTTGGAATCAAACCAGCCACCCTTTGGTTCACAGGTTCTCACTCAATCTACCGGGCTACACCAGCCAGGGCAAGAATGTTTATTTTAGCATTGTTTATTATGACAAATATACTAGAAACTAAGTGAATATCCACCACAGGATAATGACTGACTAAAGCATAATGCATCTACATTATTAAAGTAATATGCAGCCATTTTTAAAGAACAGTCATATCAAAAGGACAAAGAAGCCAGCTTAAATAGTTAGCCACTGACCAAATTAAGGAAAAAAAGAATGGATATGCATAACACATTAAACAAAAAATAACTGATATGCCCAAGTGACAGCAAAATATAAGAGAGGGCAAATGACCATCATATGACTCAGCAATCCCACTTCTGGGTATTTATCCAAAGAAATCCAAAACACTACTTCAAAAAGATCTATGTACCCCTATGTTCACTTCCGTGTTACTCAGAATAGCTAAGATATGGAACCACACTACGTGCCCACTGACAGGCAAATCAATAAAGATGTGGTACATATACACAATGGAATATTAATGAGCCGTGAAAAAGAATGAAATTTTACCATTTAAAAAAATATGAATGGGCCTAGAGGGTAGTATGCTAAGTGAAATAAGTCAGACAGAGAAAGATAAATATCATATGATTGCATTTAAAAACACAAAATAATGGACAAATAAAACAGAAACAAACTCATAAATATAAGGAACAAATTGACAGTCACCAGATGAGATGGGGTTCAGGGGAATGAGAAAAAAGGATTAAGAAATATAAATTATCAGTTATAAAAATAGTCATAGGGATGTAAACTACAGTATAGGGAGTATAGACAATAATATTGTAATAACTATGTATGGTGCCAGATAAGTACTAAGTACTAGACTTATTGGGGTGAGCACTTTGTATATTAATGTCTAATTACTACACTGTATGCTTGAAACTAATATAATATTGTATGTGAACTATAATTTAAAAATACATTTAAAAAATCAGAAAGCTAAAAAAAACTAACCCCCAATGTAATAACTGATTTAGGAGAAGGTCCTCAAATGAATGCTAAAGCCACTGGGTAAAAAGCTACATGCTAGAAAACAGGCTAGTCGCATGATACCAACATGTCACCCCAAGATTCACAAATTATAAAGAGAAAAAATGTTGCTTTAAAGTGGAGCTATTAGAGATCATCTCTTAAACAAGTGAACAAACTTAGTGGCATTGATAGTTGAGATACTGGATATTACATGTTTCCTAATGTGATGCAATGTAATAAAATTTATAACATCACCTACGCTTTCCAAAAATGTTTAACCTGAATTTAATTAAGCCTCCATAGCTAATTTTCAATTTACAAAAAAGACAGAAAATTTTTTAAAAGTTAAAAAAATATCATGAGAAAATAATCACATAAATCCAAGATGAGGGACATTCTACAAATTAACTGGTCAAAGACTCTTCAGATAGGTACAAAGGAGGAAGAAAAAAGCTAGGCAAACTTTTCTAGATTAAAATAAAGAAACATATCAAATAAATGCAATTAGTAACCCCTAATCGTGTTTTGGTTCAATATAAAACACATTTACAGACACTTTGGAAACTGAAAAAATCAAATCCTAATTAGATATCAGGTACTGTAACAATATTATTAATTTTCTTAGGTGTGATGATGATGTCGCAGTTACGAAGAATATCCCTAGAGGACGCATGCTGAACTATTTGGTGGTAAATTGTCATTATATAACGATAATATATGTAACATGCTAAGAGTAAAGAGAAAGATAAGGTAAATATGATAAAATGTAAACAATTACTGAAGCTAGGTGGAGAGTATTTTAATATTCATTGTAACAATCTTTAAGTTTTTCTGTACATTTGAAATTTTTCATAATAAAGTGTTAAAAGAAAAAAGGAATATAAAAATTTTTTAAAGGAATGAATTTAAGCTATCCCAACAGACTTAAAGGAATGTCCACATTGTATTGCTAAATGATAACACAAAAGTGTATGACAATCTCAGTTTTTATTTTTATTTTTTTTAAATCACAGCAAACTTTTTTTTTTAAAGATTTTATTTATTTATTTTTATAGGGGAAGGGAAGGAGAGAGGGAGAGAAACATCAATGTATGGTTGCCTTTCGTGCATCCTCTGCTGGGAACTGGCCTGCAGGGAACCGGCCTGCAACCCAGACATGTGCCCTGACTGGGAATCTGAACCGCGATCGTGTGGTTCACAGGCCCGCGCTCAATCCACTGAGCTACACCAGCCAGGCACACAACCTCAGTTTTTAAAAGGAAAACAAAAACTACCATATTTTGCTGTGTATAATGTGCACTTTTTTTCCAAATTTTTGAGGGAAACATACAATACACATGGGTAGTACTAATTCCATATCTATATAAATGTTTTTAATTCTTTTATTTAGGCTTATGCATGGAAAGTGTAACTCTAGAAAGCATTAACAATATCTGTATACAAAATAATACACTGGAATACAATAATTGCTTTTATATATAAATAAAAATTGAATTAAACAATTAAAATGGTCCCCAGCTGGTGTGGCTCAGTGTATTGAGTGCCAGTCTGCAAACCGAATAGTTTGATTCCCAGTCAGGACACATGCCTGGGTGTGGGCTAGGTCCCCAGGTGAGGGTGTGCGAGAGGCAACTGCTTGATGTATCATCTCTTGCATGTTGATGTTTCTCTCCCTCTCTTTCTCCCTCTATTCCCCTCTCTCTAAGAATAAATAAATAAAATCTTCTTAAAAAATTTAAATGAAAGATTTTTTTCCTGAAAGTTTGGGCAAAAAGTGTGGGTGTGCATTATACATGGAAGCGCATTACGCACAGCAAAATACTGTACATATATGAGTGTATGTTTAAATAACACACATATTTGTATATAATAGTTCATAAGCATGGAGAAAAGTACAGAATAATATCCAACAGGTTAACATGGGGTTACCATGTTTATTGGAAGACAAGGGTTAATAAGGAGAGAAAATGATAAAGAATTTTTATGAACAAATAAATAAAATGGACCTTCCCCTAAGAAACCTGCCATGGAGTTTTATATACATATGTGTGTATGTGTGCACATATAAAGAAGTTAGGGAAGCACAAACATGAATAGATATCTACAAACTTATAAAAGTATGTTATGATAAACATTCCAGTGAAAAGAAAAACATGGCAAAATACTGTATGTAGTGATTTAACTTCAGTAAAAAACAAACTAAGCCTCTATACATATGTTATATGAAGGAGGGTGTGCAAGGAAACTCATTAGGCTATTAATGTTAATTACAATCAGTAAAAACAAGTAGAAAATATGCTTTTATACAAGGGGTAGGCAGAAGGTTTATAGCTGTTTGTATAGAAAAAGACATGTAGGTTATGATAATTACAATAGCTTTATTAACTAACTCTGTGTTAGGTATACTCACAACTGTAAGCCAACTTTTGCCCACCCTGTACACCTTTGTTCTGTGCTAGTTCAATTGTTTCAATGAGCATTTATTAATAACTTAAAAATCATTAAAGAAAGATTTTAATTTAATAATATTAGTAAGTAAATCCTGGCTGGTACCAACTTGTGAACCAAAAGATTTGATCCCCAGTCAGAGCATATGCCTGGGTTGTTGGTCAGGTCCCCTGATTGGGAATATGCAAAAGGCAACCAATCGATTTCTCTCACACACCGATGTGTCTCTCCCTCCCTTCCCTTCTCTCTAAAAATAAATAAATAAATAAATCTGGGGGGAGATGGGGACAACTGTAATTGAACAACAATAATTTTTTTTAAAAAAGCAAAAAAATTAAATCAAACAACAAAAAAATATGAATAAGCCACATGCACAACAAGTATCTAAAGCTGTATCTCAACAATGTAAATTAAGGTATAGAATTTGTATGGTTTATATATATGCTAGACATGTCAACTATGTTTTCTGATACATCACAGATCCTGCTGAACTGGTGCCCTTCACCAGTCACAGTTCAATTGACACAGAAATGAGCAACGAAGGAGCAGTCAGATAATCACAGATATGCCAATGACCTATAACATACTTTCATACACTAAATAGAAAACTGGATCAATCAAATGCCTTCTCTCTATAATTTAAAAAAATGAATAAAAAAGCAAGTTAGTTAATAACCAGGCACTAAGGATTAAAGAATGCATGAATGTTGCACAAAGAAGTTAAAACTTGAGTAATATGGACAAAATGAAATCATGAGGAACAGAAGTCACATATAAATTAAGTAAAAGTTATAAAGGTGATAAAATATAAAGAGAGTGGATGGCATAAACAGAATAACTGGAAACAAAACACAACATCCAGAGAGACCCTTATGAGAGTTAGAATAACCCTAGACTTATCTGAGAAAAAAAAATTTTAATTGCACATTCAAAAAAGACTGAGAATGAGTTAAAAGTTGCAGCACCTGGTCTGCAGAATGTATCTCTGATGTCTAACCAAAAATATAAGAACTAAAGATTAGTTTTCTATTTCATCTCTAAAGATGCCTGAAAACTTCCGTAAGTATAATCCATTTTAACTAAAATCCATACTTCAAAAACTTCCCTGCCAGCACAGCCAACATGATCAATGGACCCAGAAGTTCAGAAAAATCAGACTTTGAAGGTAAAAAAATAAATTATTCTGTAGGATGAGTGAGAGAAGTAAATAAAAGTGTGAAAGTCCTATGACAGTCCTCTCTTAAACTCAATCAATAAATACTATTTGACTGCCCTAGGAATTTATTCTGTGCTACAAACAAATATAAAAACAGAGAATGACCCCTCGACAATGAAATTACAAAAGGTATAATGTGTCTCTAAAGGAGAAAATAAAAGTGCACAGACTGAAGAACAGTATGATGCAAAATTAATTTACAGATTAATATAGATGTTTAACCTTCTAATACGCATTTCCATTTCACTCTTGTGCAACCAAATGCCAAAAAATATTAAAAGGTGATAACAACAAAAGCAAAAAAGTGTACAAGTGAAAAAATACAAATGGATAAATGTAAGTGGATATTAATTGCTGAACATAGTCTATTATGAGAAGGACTCAGAAAGAGCAAATACCAACATTATTTGTAGATCATGAATCATCTGTTTCCCAAAATACATTCTGCAGAATCCTAGTGTGTCAAGAGACTTGTGAAAAAGAGCAAACATCAAATAACTGTGGGGAACAGCGACTCTATCCAACACCTGTGCCAACAACTCAGAGGGTCATGATGCAGATTAACATATCAAAGTTATAAGAAGGCCCATAATAAAGAAAACTGCTTAATATTTATTAACTCACTATTTTCCAAATTGGTAAGATCTGGAGACACTTTCACTGGAAATATCAATATCCCATGAAACTAATGTTCTATGAAACACATTTTCTATAGGCTGATATATGATGAAGCATAACAATTTCTCCATCTAATGTTAGAACACTTAGACATGGGATGGAAGATATGCTTCATTTCACATTCAAATCCTGGAAATCCATACTTACTATTAAAGTGCAAAATGTAAGACAGTAATCAGTCTTGGTGTCTAATTAATTATGTCTGCCATGAAAACTGGAGGAAAGCATGATGTCAGCTAACTTAGATATACATCATATTTTTTTTTAATGGTTCTCAGTGAAAAGAGAACAAGACAGTTCAGCATGATAGGAATCTAAGCTCTAGAGTAAGATATCCAAGTTCAAGTCAAAATTCTGCTACTTTACTCTGGAAAAGGCGCTTAACTTCTCAGAGCTAAGTGCTTTTCATCTATAAAACTGGGTTAATGGTTGTGATGTTAATGAGTATATAAGTGCAAGAACTAAAAAAACCCACCTAGCATATTGTAAATGATGGCTACAGTTCAGTTATTTTCTAAAGTTCTGCTGCAATGTCCTTTGGAAAAAGCCTAAATTTTTATTGGACAATTTTAGTCAACTATATCTGATACATGTTCATCAGTGTAACCATACTAGAGATGACCATCATGGCCTGCCCTACCCACACAACTGTTAAACTAAACAGTCTTCCTCTATTTCTGATTCCCTCTCCTAGCTCCGACTCTCACCCTAGGCCAGCCTAGCTAGAGCTAATTTCACAGAAGTATATGCCCCAAATAATTCATGAGTTTGCCAGTCATTCACCCCGTGGCTTGGATTGAGATAAACTAAATTAATCAAACATTTTGCTCACAAATTCAGGAACCTAAGAAACTAAACTAGCTGATGGTGAACACTGAAACCAGAAAGTCATGAAGGTTTAGGATTCTAGAACAGTTATTTTGGGTTAAGTTCAATTTCCGTTTTCACTGAATAATAAATCAAGAAAAAAGAGAACATTACATACATATACAAAAAATACATTATACACCATAAGAGACAGATCAACGACAGATGGATAAAAGAAGGAAGAAAGGAAAGAAGGGAGGGAGGGAGGGAGGGAGGGAGGGAGGAAGGTTGATTCCCTCAAATTGTCTTGGTTATGCTTTTCCTGAGATGAAGCTAGTCACCATATCTTGAATTTCTAAAATAGGTAGCCTCTTCATGAATCTCTTTACTTTTCAGTTACCCAAGTTAATCTGTTCCTTGCAGGAAGGAAAAAAACCCATCATAACTAAATAAAAATAATAAAAATTTGAGTCAATAATTTATACATAATTAAAATCAAAATTAAATTGTCCTGCAAACCATATGCTTCACTTGAACATATGAACTTAAAAACTGAACTAGCAGAATTATTTTTCTCAACAAATTCTGGTAATATCTTTGGAATTAGCATATATTATGGGATCAAATGTTTATACCAACAACTACATGACACTATATAACAATAATAAATGTTCATAATAATAGATTTAGATCATCAAAAAAAGAATTAAATGTTAATAAGCCTGTTTAAAAAAATCAAGAGTGTATGATATTTTAAAAATTTAGCAAATACATCTAAAAGGTTGCCCATCAGCTACCTGGAATCCTCCCCTTTCAGAATTACTGAGAATCCAGATAACTAAAATTTTATGGCATCTTGGAATAGCCTTATCAAGTATACCTTTTAAATCACCCATCTATGAGTTGCTTTTGTTTAATTAAAGAATAAACAATTAAAGTATTAGTTCTTTATAATCATCTACCATACCAAAGGCTAGACTTAAGAGTTTTGATATACAAAACAATCCATGTTAAAGATCCTTTAAAAACTCTAAATATTGAAGTATTATAATAATTAATAAACCTTAATATATGAAAATAAATCTCTTGAAATTACAAAATATTGCTTGATAAAATAACCAAGAAAAAAATAGTTTCAAATGGCAAAAAGGTTAACACAAGATTTCAACTAACTAGAAAAAATTTACTGTAGAAAATGAAGGAATACTGTTTATTTTTAATATACTGAATCCTAAGTTCAATTAGCAAGTAAAATAATCAGGTTAATTTTATAAAACTCAAAAGACAAAATTCACGTAAAAAATTTAAAACTGACTATACACAAGTGCCACTGAACATTAAAAAGAAGAAAATATTTACTAACCTTTATTTCCTAACATCACAGCAAGATGTAAAGGAGTGTTTCCTAAAATTAAAAAGAAATTAAATTAGCGTAAAAACATAGGAAAGCATGTATTTAAAAGTGGATTCAGCTCCTTCATAAATTTCACCTACAGATTTTAAGTAAAGTGTGACTGGAAAATGATCCTGCTGATATGGCAAATTCAAAGTCAGAGGATGCCATAGTTTCTGAACATAATGCATCCAACTCTTCTTCCCTCTGCCAACCCAGGCCCACCCATCCCCCCAAAAATACCCATTATGCTTTGGGGATTTCTTTTCCAGATTTCAAGTTTCCTTTGCTGCTAATTTCTCTATCATATTGTTCCTTGTCCATTCAGCAAACAATTTAAATACCTACTATAAACTCATTCTTGCCCTGGCCGGTATGGCTCAGTTGGTTGGAGCGTCCTCCCACAAACCAAAAAGTCACGGGTTCGATTCCAGTCAGGGAGAACATACCCAGGTGACAGATCTGATCCCTGGGCAGGGAGCATACAAGAGGGCAACCAATCAATGTTTCTCTCTCACATAGATGTCTGTCTGTCTATCTATCTCACTTTCTCTCCCTCTCTCAAAACAATGAAAAAATGTCCTGGGATGAAGATTTTAAAATACTCAGTCTTGGGGATAAGTATCAGTAAGACCCTATCCCATCCTCGAGTTGTCAAGAGTCTTCTGTGAGAGACTGATATGAACATAAATCATTATTGTATTATTTATTAGAATAGAAGGGAGTGTAGCATGATAATGGAACATGGGGCAGAGCACCTAATTTTGCTTATCCATATTTATATTATCTGTAAATAATATCTTAACATGCTACATATATCATTGTTGCTGTACCATTTGAAAATTAGATGTAGACATAATGACAGTTTACCACCAAATACTTCATTATTTCTTAACAGACTTAAAGATGATCAGTATTATAACAAAACTGAACAACATGAGTGATAACAAGGGAGAAACAATAAGAGAAACAGACCCACCGGAGCCTCATTTATTGTTATTATTAGACAGAAATTTTAAGTAAAAATATTTATGTTCTTGGAGAAAGACAAATTTGAATGTTTTATCAGAGAACTGGAAACTAAAAATTTAAATCACATATTTAAAAAAACAAATAGAAAATCTGTAATAGAAAAATAGAACTAAAATCACAGTTTAGATCATGAAGACAGAAAGAGAAATTTTTTAAAAAGGGGTTAATTGACCCTCAGGAGAGAAGAGATGGGGCTAAAGCTATATTTGTAAAGGTAACAGCTGAGTATTTTCTAAAATTGATGAAAGACACAAATTTAGAGATTTTAGAATTCTAACCCAAGCAGACTTAAAAAAAAAAAAAGGAATCCACTTTGGAGTGAAATGACTGAACATTAAAAACAAAACTCTTCAGTGCAGCCAGAAAAGAGCAGTCACATTACTTTCAAAGAGTAGTACGAAGTCCTATAGCTAACCTCCTAACAAAAGAGGAATCCATAAGACCAAATAGAATGCTGAATAACAGCCAATCAAGAACTTTACACCTAGTTGAATAGACATTCCCAAACAAAAACTGAGAATTCATTTATCAGATGTATCATTAAAAGAAATACTGAAAGATGTGTTTCAATAGAAGAAACATGATTCTGCTGAAAGGTTAGAGATGTAGAAAGGAATGAAGAGCAACAAAAATGGTAAGTACACTCAAACAAATATTGATTCTATAAGGTAAAATAAAAACTTATGGGACTAGGTAACATTGATATCTAGATAAAGGGAATGAAGTCAGTGTTCTGAGTTAATTGCATAACTCTGAAGAGGAGTAATGTACTACCTAATATTTAACATTAGTTTGTGATAAATCAAGGTTGTGTATTGTAAACTCTAGAGCTGTGCTAATGGAAATACAATGCAAGCCACATATTTAACTGTAAATTTTATAAAAGCCACATGAAGAAAATAAAAAGAAATCAATAAAGCTAATGTTAATAAGAGTTAACCCAGTATACCCAAAACATTTCAGCATGCTGATCAATGTAAAATATTATTGAAATATTTTATATTCTTGGTTTTCATACAAAGTTTTCAAAATATCACTACGGCACAGTCAATTTAGACTAGTCACATTTCAAATGCTTAACAATCACATATGACTACTGTATGAGACAGTGCATCTCTAGGATAACTATGAAAAGAATGGTAAAGTAAAAATATTTTTTTTTCATTTCACAGATGAAAAAACCTACAAAGAATAATGAAATCATCAATCTAAAAGAATGTAAGAAAATAGTCAATCTAGAAGAGAGTAAGAAAGAAAGAAAAAAGGAACCGAGACCAGAAGAACAAAGAGAAAACATAAAACGGGGTAGATTTAAATGCCAGTATATCCGCAAGTATACTATATGAAACTAGAGTAAGTGCTCCAGCTAAAAGGTAAATATTTTTATCTTTTGATATAAAAAAATATATGAAAAAAACACTTCTCTACATGTAGTTGGAAAAACTTTGAAATATAATGATATGTAATAATAGCTGATTGTAGCAGGATTAAAATATATATTTTATTCAAACATATATCAAAAAATTATTATAGTTTTAACATAATAAGTTATCTTAATATAGTTATAACATAACAATAGGTTTCAAAGCAGAACACATTATCTGAGGTAGATATACTTATTAATAAAAAATTGCTTAATGAACCAAGAAAATATAAAGATCTGATTTGTACTTAATAGCATAGCTTGAGCCCTGGCTGGTGTGACTCAGTGGATTGAGTGCCGGCCTGCAAATCAAAGGGTCGCCAGTTCGATTTCCAGTCAGGGCACATGCCTGGGTTGCGGGCCAGACCCCAGAATGAGGTGCACCAGAGGCAGCCACACACTGATGTTTCCCTCCATCTATTCCTCCTTCCATTCCCCTCTCTCTGAAAGTAAGTAAAAGTCTTAAAAAATAATAATAGAGCTTGCAAACACATCACACAGAAACTGCAGTAATCATATAAAACATGTTCTTTTCAATATAGAGAAAGCATTTACAAAAACTGACCAGATTTCACCATGTAACAAATAAATCTCAACATGTTTAAAGGACTGAAATTATATTGTCTGTTCCCTGGTCATGGAGCAATTAAGCTAGAAATTATTAATAAAAAAATAAAAGATACATTAGGAAAAAAGCTGAAAAACCAATAATCTAAGAAGCCATTTCAAGAAATTGGAAAAAGAACAACTTAAATTGCTTAATTTTTCAATTTGAGTTTATTTTACCAAAATACAACGGAAAAAAATAAAAGCAGGAATTATTAGAGAAACATTAAGTAGCAACATACTAAAACTTTGTTTTTGAAAAAATGCATAAAATAAACCTCAGACTGATCAAAAGAAAAAAGAAAACACAACAAGCATGAATAAGAGGAGCATCTATATAAATTCCAATGTTATTAATGTAAGAGGATATTGTGAACAGAACATATGCCAATGAGTAACTTAAATGACATGGACAGAATCCTGGAAAAATTTGTCTGAATGAACACAAATTAGAAAACTTAAGTACTCTTGCCTTTAAAGACAGTGAACTGATAATAAAAGTGTTCACTCAAAGGAACCTCCAGGGCTATCTGGTTTTACAAGTGTATTCTTCTAACCGTTTAGGAAAAAGCACCCAAACTTTTCCAGTTACATTACATAAACATGGAAACATTTGAGTTTGCAACCCTTGCCTACAGTAATGCCTGTTGTATTTTAATTATTAGGTCTCTATTACTACTGATATTTTTAAGGCTGGTTGCTACACTGAGAGCTTTTTCTCATGACTTTATTCACAAATGCTTATTGACTCTTATGAATGTTGTGTATGCAATGCACTTGTTATACAAAAATTAACCAAATAAGTATGTAGTCATCCTGAGGGTGACATCTAATGAAGATGACAAATGTTTACACAAAATTAAAAGTAGTTTTGTGTGAAAAGTGCTGCATTAGATAGGTACAGAGGGCTTTGGGGGAGAGTCCGATTGCCTAGGACAGATCAAAGAAGGCTTCACTAAAGTGATGTTTTGTTTTGAAAGGTATTAATATGCCAGACAGATGGGGAAGGAATATTGATGAAGGATTAACAAAATGTGTGTAAAAGCACAAGAATATAGCTTAATGGAGAATATGGTATGCAGTTCTGATAGAAAATAGAATAAGGAAGAAAACATAAGAAAGGTAATGACCTATCTAGAACGTTTTAAACCATGTTAAAGATACAATACGGAGTGCTTCCAGTCTTTTGAGTGGAAGTGTAACATGGTCAAGTTTTTGTTTTAAAATTACTATCTAAGTATTGAGAAGAGATTGAAATGGGGCAAGACTGAAGACAGAGAGACTGTTAGAAGGTTTTTGCAATAGGTATTGAGCTAAGTGAAAGCTGAAACTGGAGAAGAGGCAACAGGAATTAAGAGTAAGTCAGTAAAGGTTTTGGTTTTGGCAGCATTGATGCTGAGCTTGTTTTTGGCACTAATATGTCAACAAGGCTGTTTACTTTTTCTGACTAATTTCTGGTCTTGATAGCCAAAGAATGTGAATGCAAAGTTATGAAATTTAGTTCCCTATTTAAAAAAGAAAGAAGATGATCTTATTCTACACCAGTCAGATTTGAAATTGATACTTATACATGTGGATTTCTTTCTTGCTTGTTTTTCTTTTTTGGCACTGATCAAAAACAAATAGTTTAGAATAACATGTTGCTGTTTTAAGTGCAACAGAGAAAACACGTACTATCAACAGATTCACACAGGAGTTAGCATTTTGAGACAGAAAAAACTTTTCCTTTGTAACTAGCCTTTTTCTTACTTGAGTTATATTTTACCTATAACTTTATATTAGTTTCAAGTCTACAATGATTCAATGTGTATATATTGCTAAATGCACTATAATAAATCTAGATAACATCACCATCCATAATTACAAAATTTTCTTGTGTTGAGAACTTTTAATATGTTAGCAACTTTCAAATATGCAATAGAACAGACTGCTGTACATTATGTCTCCGTGG